AACCCGGGTTTATAACTGTCTACTTCTCTGCTGTAGGCTCATTTGCAGGGGGGAGCCAAAAGGGTCATCATCTCTGCCCCCTCTGCTGACGCCCCCATGTTCGTCATGGGTGTGAACCATGAGAAGTATGACAACAGCCTCAAGATCGTCAGGTGAGGAAGGCAGGGCCAGTGGAGAAGCGGCCAGCCTGGCACCCTGTGGACACGCTCCCCTGACTTGCGCCCCCTCTTTGTTTGCAGCAACGCCTCCTGCACCACCAACTGCTTAGCACCCCTGGCCAAGGTCATCCATGACAACTTTGGTATCGTGGAAGGACTCATGGTATGAGAGCTGGGGAATGGGACTGAGGCTGCTGCCTTTCTCATGCAGGGCTGGCTCCTCCTCCCGGCCAGGCCTGCATGCAACCCTGGGGGCTGGGCCTTCTGGGGACTGGCTCTCCCATAATTTCCTTTCAAGGTGGGGAGGGAGGTAGAGGGGTGGTGATGTGGGGAGCACTCTGCAGGGCCTCACTCCCTCCTTTTCCAGACCACAGTCCACGCCATCACTGCCACCCAGAAGACTGTGGATGGCCCCTCCGGGAAACTGTGGCGTGATGGCCGCGGAGCTCTCCAGAACATCATCCCTGCCTCTACTGGCGCTGCCAAGGCTGTGGGCAAGGTCATCCCTGAGCTGAACGGGAAGCTCACTGGCATGGCCTTCCGTGTCCCCACTGCCAACGTGTCAGTGGTGGACCTGACCTGCCGTCTGGAAAAACCTGCCAAGTACGATGACATCAAGAAGGTGGTGAAGCAGGCGTCGGAGGGCCCCCTCAAGGGCATCCTGGGCTACACTGAGCACCAGGTGGTCTCCTCCGACTTCAACAGCGACACCCACTCTTCCACCTTCGACGCTGGGGCTGGCATTGCCCTCAACGACCACTTTGTCAAGCTCATTTCCTGGTATGTGGCTGGGGCCAGAGACAGGCTCTTAAAAAGTGGTGCAGAGTCTGGCGCCCTCTGGTGACTGGCTCAGAAAAAGGGCCCTAACGACTCTTTTCATCTTCTAGGTATGACAACGAATTTGGCTACAGCAACAGGGTGGTGGACCTCATGGCCCACATGGCCTCCAAGGAGTAAGACCCCCGGACCACCAGCCCCAGCGAGAGCACAAGAGGGAGAGAGAGGCCCTCACTGCTGGGGAGTCCCTGCCACACTCAGTCCCCCGCCACACTGAATCTCCCCTCACAGTTTCCATGTAGACCCCTTGAAGAGGGGAGGGGCCTAGGGAGCCCCACCTTGTCGTGTACCATCAATAAAATCCCCTGTGCTCAGCCAGTTCTTTGTCCTGTCTTATCCTAGGGTGTAGGGCGGAGGGAAGGGAAGCTGGGCTGTGTCAAGGTGAGACATTCTTGCTGGGAGGGACCTGGTATGTTCCCCTCAGATTGAGGGTAGGGCCTCCCAACCGCCTTGCTTGCCATTTGCTTCCTGCTCAGACTGAGTGCTACGGAAAGCTAGCACCACTACTTCAGAGAACAAGGCTTGCTTCAGTCCTAGGCTATCTGCTGCTGGCCAAACATGGAAGAAGCTGTTCTATGGGCAGCCCCAGGGAGGGTGACTGGTGGAGGAAGTCGGGGTTCACACTGGGCTGGTGACTGGTTAGTAGACCGCAGCCTGGAGATGAGCTGCAGCGGGTAATTCCAGCTTGGCCTCCACAGCTGTGAGGTCTTGAGCAAGGACTCTTGCTTTCTGTGCCCGCCTGTCTTAGCTGAGGACGTCATTGTGGCCAGCCCCTAAGGTCTTCAGGAGGATTCATCTAGGTAAACAAGAACCTAAAACCATGCCCAAGATGGGCAGCGCTGCCGGGCGCGGTGGCTCAAGCCTGTAATCCCAGCACTTTGGGAGGCCGAGACAGGCGGATCACTAGGTCAGGAGATTGAGACCATCCTGGCTAACACGGTGAAACCCCGTCTCTACTAAAAATACCAAAAAAACTAGCCGGGCGAGGTGGCGGGCGCCTGTAGTCCAGCTACTCAGGAGGCTGAGACAGGAGATGGCCCGAACCCGGAGGCGGAGCTTGCAGTGAGCTGAGATCCGGCCACTGCACTCCAGCCTGGGCGACAGAGCGAGACTCCGTCTCAAAAAAAAAAAAAAAAAAAAAGATGGGCAGCGCTATAGAATCTTTAAAACTCGGTGAAGTTAGCGCCCACCTCGCACGGTTCTGAGGAAAAGATGGGTCAGGGTGACTTTCCATCATCACCCTTAAGGGAGCTTGGGTAGGGGCAAGGCGTGTCGCTGAGACCTAGGTCCAGACCCCTGGCTCTGCCACTGAAAGGCTCAATTGCTTTGGGCAGTTACTCCGGGGCCTCACTTTGCACGTGGACTTACCTAGTGGAGACAAAAGTACCTACCTCAGTAGAGCACACACACCTGTAATCCCAGCACTTTGGGAGGTCAAGGTGGGCGGCTCACCTGAGGTCAGGAGTTTGAGACCAGCCTGGCCAACATGGTGAAACCCCATTTCTACTAAAACTACAAAAATTAGCCAGGAGTGATGGCGCACACCTACAGTCCCAGCTACAGGTGTGCTGAAGCAGGAGAATCGCTTGAACCCGGGAGGTGGAGGCTGCAGTGAGCTGAGACCACACCACTGCACTCCAGCCTGGGCAACAGAGTATGAGGCTCCATCTCAAAAAAAAAAAAAAAAAAAAGTACCTACCTCAGAGTTCAAACTAGTGAATATTAGGAAGTGCTTGAGACAGTGACACCAAAGTGCACATTAAATACTCGCCAGTTTCATTATTATTAAAGAATCCATTTAAATGTCAGCTCAACACAGCCTCCTATACCAAGGCATTGTGAATTGCATCTCCCCCGTTTCTCCAGGCTTTTCCAAGAATCAGGGACACTGTAGCCTGTTGGTCTCAGAGTATGACAGACACGGAGGAGGCACATGTTTAGCTAATACTTAAACAGAGACCCTGAGCGCACATACACCCGCGCACACATGCCCGGAGCTTCACCTTCTCTGTCATTCTGCAGTGACCAGGAGAGCAAGAGCTCCCACCTCCCTTCAAAATACTGTGCCCATCCCGGGCACTAAGGCCTCTTTAAACCACGGCACATCCACGAGGGAGGGCCACAGCCACATACACTCCACCCAGCAGGTGGACAGCGTGAGCATGTGGACCAAAGCAGGGACAAGGTGCCCCGGCCAGCCCCAACGCCCTCCGCCGCTGACAGGGACAGAAGCCCTCTCCAACTGCGTGTGCTGCAGAGGCCATGTGTAGCCTCCAGGGGCGTTCTCTTCCACGCCAGTGCCTGGGCCAGTCAGCACCAGTGCGGAAGACAGTGAGCTGGCTCCGGACAACAGGCATGGAGGAAAGTTCCCACATTCACATTCCTGATACGTGGACAAGGTGAGGGGCCGCAATCGCTCTGGCAGCATTTTAAAGATGGAGAAGTAGCAGACACCCACGCGTGAAGGCCGGAGAGCCCCAACTGTGGTGGAAACGGCCCCAGAATGGTAGGGCCAAGCCTAGCTCCAGACACCGCAGAGCCCTGGAGAAGCCAAGCCCGAGGGAGGAAGCCCGAGGGAGGAGCGCCTGTCCCCAGGGGCCAGGCCCGGTGCACTGCTGCAGCTGATGCTCCCCTCGGTGCAGCCCCACCCTCTGCCTTGCTGAGTTCCCAGCTGCGAGGGCCTCCGGTGCAAGGGAGAGGCAGGTCTCTATCTCATGGAGCTATCAGATGAGACATCGCGATCGGAGTCCTCAGCCTCGCTTGGCGGCGGCGGCGGGTCGCTAAGCGGGACCGCAGCGAAAGCAGGAGACTTTCTAGAAAAAAACACTAGTCGTCAACCTTGGGGCAGGCCGGAATCCTGAAGACGGCACTCCTCTTCCTGCCGCCTCATCCTCTGGCAACAGGTGAGAAGTACCGGAAGCGAGGGCGGGGCCGCGGGATGGCGACGGAGCGGCAGGGACTGAACTCTCTCCAACCCCACCCTGACAGGGAAATGGGCCCCGCCTGTGTCTTGGGAACTGAGGCTGAGGTCAGGCACGATGGCTCACGCCTGTAATTCCAGCACTTTGGGAGGCCAAGGCGGGTGGATCACGACGTCAGGAGTTCAAGGCGAGCCTGGCCAACATGGTGAAACCCCATCTCTACTAAATATGCAAAAATTAGCCAGGTGTGGTGGTAGGCGCCTGTAATCCCAGCTACTTGGGAGCATGAGGCAAGATAATCCCTTGAACCCAGGAGGCAGAGGTTGTAGTGAGCCAGAAAAAAAAAAAAAAAAAGAACAAACGAACTAGCTGAAGTCACAGGAGAGGAGAGAAGCTGCCGAGCCTTCAGCACCCTGACTCTAGGGTGTTGGCTTTATGTCTATCTGCAGTATTTTTGTGATTTTTAAAAATTCACTTTCTTGTTGCGGTGTAACTTACACAGGGTCAAATGCATAAATCATGGCCCTGACGTTAGATAAAAATCTGCCCCCACAACCCTTCCGTTCCTTGCCAGTTTTTAAACTGCCTCTAACCAGGGGAACCACCAGAGCTGGTGGCCTTGGGAGGTTTCAGTCCTCCCACCATGAATGGACACAGCGTCTTCCAACTGCCAAGGGAGAGAGCTGTGGGTCTGGAACAGCCACACCAGGTGACTCCCAAAGGGCAGCCCCACAGCAAGATGTGACCCAGTCACTGCCTGAGGGTCTTTGGGGCTGTGTTCCAACCTTTCTCCCCACTGCGTCCCCCCAGAAGGCCCCATGCCCAGGGGAGGCGCCTACCGGTCTCCGGACTGGGTGATGAGCCGGCGGCAGGTCTCCATCTGCACGTCCAGGCCGCGCTTCATGCTACACATCTCCATGTACTCATGCAGGTGCCGGTTCATGTCGTTCTTGGCTGTGGCCAGCTCCAGCTGTGGTGGGGCAGGCAGGGCCATCAGGGTTAGCAGGTGGGGTTCACAGCGCCTCTGTTCCCCGTGCCAGGAGGCTAACAGGCCAAGAGCAGTGGCTGGGCTGGGGGCCCAGGCAGCCATTACTGAAGGCTCAGATTTTAAAATAAATCAGACCAAGGCAGAAGGCACCCAATATGCTATCATTTCCTCTGGTTTTCCTGGAAATCTTTGCCTATGGAGGAATGCAAAGGTACTGCGGCAGGCTGTGTTCTTTTAAGACTGGTAAGAGTGGTGAGGAAAGTCGGTGTGGGCGGAATGGAGCAGATCCACAAGCTCCCAGGGCCACACGGGTTCCCACCGGGCCTGGCTCATCCCTCATCCCCTGCACTGTGAGCTCTTGTAAGGGTTAGCAACGGGTCTTCCTCATCCTGGCAGACCCAGAGCTCGAAGGGAATTAACTCACTCCGTGACGTGCCCACGAGACCGCGGCATACAAGAAGCCTGGCTCACTGCTGAAAGGGGCCCAATCCTCTTACCATTTTCTCCTTATCACTTTATTTTCTCACCTAAAAGCCATTCTGAGACACTACAAGGAAGACTCCCATATTGGAGGTGCCATTGATTCTGAGACATGTCCTGACTTCAGAAATGTCACACGTGGAAAACATGGGGCTCAGAATCAAAGAAATCCAGTCTCCCTCCCAGGGCCCATTCTTCAGCCCAGACTCTGAGGCAGGCAGAGAGGCACGGCCCAGGCAGCACAAACTCTGTGCCAGGGACAGCCGACTGCCTCTCTTTGTTTTGGGTACAAAGGGCAGGGGCCACAAGGGGAGGCAAAATGAAACTGCCTGGAGATGACGTTCGTGACTGCCTGAGTGAAGAGAATGGGGAAGATACCAGCTGTGATAATCTGGATTGGACAGAGAGGGTGGGAACTTAGAGAAAGATGGAAACAGGTTCCAGGGCCAGACAACAGAGATGATCAGGACAGTGACATCGGGGTGAGATGGTGGCTGGCTGGGTGAGAAGCCCCACTGGGGACAGCTTCAGTGGTAGCCTTGGCTCCACAGCTGGAGCCCCACAGTAGTGGGAGGAACAGGACACCGGTGACTGTTCAACCCAGGGAGAAAATACAGAGCCACCAGTCCTTGTTCAGATCAGCTGCCTACACGCCAATTTCTCCACCTTGGAAAAGCTGGAGTGCAGGGGGCTGGGTTCTGGAACCATCACTCAGGGAGACTGGGAAGAAGGAAATGAACCAAATATATTCTACTGATATACAAGGCTAGTACTGCCACCAGTAGTCTCTGCATATGTCTATGTCCCCACTTAATTCACAAATTTACAGCAGGAACAAGGTCAGGAGGTGAACGTGCAAGTCAGGAGATGTCCTTGACAAGCTACCTTGAAAACTGCAGGCTCGCTGTGTGACCAGACTTGGGGGTGAGAGGGGAGGAGATGGAGAGAGGTGAGGAGCAGTGGGGAAGAACTGCCTCCCGCCCACCACTCCGGACCTTGGCTTTGCCAGAGGAACTGGTCCTTGCTCCATCTTAGTGACCCTGAGAGATCAAAGGTCACAAAGATAAAGGCACCTTGGGTACTCCTGAGGTCAGCAAGTCCTCCTAACAGTTCCCCTAATGCAGAAGTCCCCAAACCCGAGGCCACGGACCAGTACCTGTCTGTGGCCTGTTAGGAACCAGGCCAAACAGCAGGAGGTGAGCAGTGGGCAAGTGAGTGAAGGTTCATCTGTATTTGCAGCCGCTCCCCATCACTGGCATACGGCCCGAGCTCCACCTCCTGTCAGATCCACGGCGGCATTAGATTCTCACAGCAGCGTGAACCCTACTGTGAACTGCGCATGCGAGGGATCTAGGTTACGTGCTCCTTATGAGATTCTAATGCCTGATGATCTGTCACTGTCTCCCATCAGCCCCCGATGGGACTGTCTAGTTGCAAGAAAACAAGCTCAGGGCTCCCACTGATTCTACATTATGGTGAGTTATATAATTATTTCATTATATATTAAATGTAATAAAAATAGAAATAAAGTGCACAGGCTGGGCATGGTGGCTCACGCCTATAATCCCAGCACTTTGGGAGGCTGAGGCAGGTGGATCACCTGAGGTAGGGAGTTCAAGACCAGCCTGACCAACATGGAGAAACCCCGTCTCTACTAAAAATACAAAATTAGCCAGGCATGGTGGCACATGCCTGTAATCCCAGCTACTTGGGAGGCTGAGGCAGGAGAATCACTTGAGCCCGTAAGGCAGAGGTTGCAGTGAGCCAAGATTGTGCCATTGCACTCCAGCTTGGGCAACAAGAGCGAAACTCTGTCTCAAAAAAAATAAAATAATTTTTAAAAACAGTAACAAAGTACACAATAAATGTAATGTGCTTGAATCATCCCAAAACCATTCCCCCCGGGTGAGTGGAAAAACTGTCTTCCACAAAACCAGTCCCTGGTACCAGAAAGGTTGGGGACTGCTGCCTAAAGTCATTGTACTGGGAGAGAGGAGGGGTCATGATTTGAAAATACCTTTTTTTTTTTTTTTTTTGGAGACGGAGTCTCGCTCTGTTGCATAGCCTGTAGCACAGTGGCACAATCTCAGTTCACTGCAGCCTCCACCTCCCAGATTCCAGCAATTCTTCTGCCTCAGCCTCCCAAGTAGCTGGGATTACAGATGCCCACCACAATGCCTGGCTGATTTTTGCATTTTTAGTAGAGACGGGGTTTCACATGTTGGTGGCCAGGCTGGTCTCGAACTCCTGACCTCAAGTGATCTGCCTGCGTTGGCCTCCCAAAGTGCTGGGATTACAGGCAAGAGCCACCGCACCCAGCCAAAAATAGCTTAAAAGGCATTATTCCATTTAATATATCATTTTTGTTCTTTCAGATCATGTTTTACACTGGGCACTTGAGGTCCAGGGAAGACCAGGGAGAGATGGCAGCCCGAGATCTCTTCTTCACGAAGATGGCTGCACAAAGGCCTCGACTTCGTTGAAGATGCAGTGAAAATACAGACCTTAAACCCACCATCCAAAAGAGGGAGGCAAGAATCAGGTAAGCAGCAGGGAGGAAACAGCGAGCCAGGGTAGACAGAAGGGTGGGGACGACTGGTTTCCCTTGCCATGTCTTTAGCTAGCAGCACAAATCCACGAAATCTCATTTACCTGCCCAAGAAAACCGGGTTTGATGAAGAAGCAGGACAGTTTGATGTGTATTGGGAGAATGAGTATATAGGAAAATAATTTCTCGACTTCTTTCTCAAACACATCCAATGTGAGAGCAATAAAAATAAAGTCACTCCCTCCTTATCCACTGGTTTCACTTTCCACGGCTTCAGGTACCCAAGGTGAACCTTGATCTGAAAATATTAAATGAAAGATTCCAGGCCAAGTGCAGTGGCTCACGCCTATAATCCCAGCACTTTGGGAGGACGAGGCGGGTGGATCACGAGGTCAAGAGATCAAGACCATCCTGGTTAACATGGTGAAACCCCGTCTCTACTAAAACATACAAAAAATTAGCCAGGCATGGCGGTGGGCACCTGTAGTCCCAGCTACTCGGGAGGTTGAGGCAGGAGAATGGCATGAACCCGGGAGGCAGAGCTTGCAGTGAGCCAAGATAGTGCCACTGCACTCCAGCCTGGGCGACAGAGCGAGACTCCATCTCAAAAAAAAAAAAGATTCCAGAAATAAACAATTCCTAAGTTTTAAATTGCACACTGTTCTGAGTGACCTGATAAAATCTCACACAATTGGCCAGGCGTGGTGGCTCAAGCCTGTAATCCCAGCACTTTGGGAGGCCAAGGTGGGCGGATCATGAGGTCAGGAGATCCAGACCATTCTGGCTAACACTGTGAAACCCCATCTCTACGAAAAATACAAAAAAAATTAGCCGGGCGTGGTGACGGGCGCCTGTAGACCCAGCTACTCGGAAGGCTGAGGCAGGAGAATGGGGTGAACTCGGGGGGTGGAGCTTGCAGTGAGCCGAGATCGCGCCAGTGCACTCCAGCCTGGGCGACACAGAGCGAGACTCCATCTTGGGGGAAAAAAAAAAAATCTCACTCTATCCAGACCGGGACATGAACCCTCCCTCTGTCCCAAGGATCCACACTGTCTGCACTGCCTGCCCATTAGTTACTTGGTAGCCATCTCAGTGATCAGATTGACTGTCATGGTATCGCAGGGCCTGTGTTCAAGGAACCCTTACTTTTACTTCATAATGGCCCCAAAGCACAAGAGTAGTGATGCTGGCAATTTGGATATGCCAAAGAGAAGCCAAAATATGCTCCCTTTAAGTGAAAAGGTAAAAGTTTTCAACTTAATAAGAAAAAGAATCCGATACTGAGGTTACTAAGGTCTATAGTAAGAATCTTCTATCCGTGAAATTGTAAAGAAGGAAAAAGAAGTTTGTGCCAGTTTTGCTGTCACACCTCGAACTGCAAAAGGTACTGCCACACCGCATGCTAAGTCTTAGTTAAGAGAGAAAAAGCATTGAATGTGTGGGTGGAAGACATGAACAGAAACACGTTCCAGTTGACAGCACCTGGACCCAAGCTATCAGGGGGTCAGTGCTATCTTTGGTTTCAGGCATCCACTGTGGGTCCTGGAACACATGCCCTGCAGGTAAGAGGGCACTACTGTATGAATCTCCCACATGGGCTTGAAGAGAGGCTGAGAGTCAGAGAAGGCTCCATGCCTCTCCTCAAGTCAGAGCGTCGGGAAAGGACCATCTCACCAGGCCAGGAGAGCTCACAGGGGTCCCGTCCATCCCTCCTCCCACAGCAACCTCCATTCTGTGGTTCCACAAATCCTTCCTTTTTTTTTTTTTCTTTTTTTTGAGACAGAGTCTTGCTCTGTCACCCAGCTGGAGAGCAGTGGCACAATCTCGGCTCACTGCAAACTCTGCCTCCCGGGTTCATGTCATTCTCCTGCCTCAGCCTCCCGAGTAGTGAGTAGCTGGGGCTACAGGTGTCCGCCACCACGCCCGGCTAATTTTTTTTGTATTTTTCGTAGAGACAGGATTTCACCGTGTTAGCCAGGATGGTCTCGATCTCCTGACCTCGTGATCCGCCCACCTTGGCCTCCCAAAGTGCTGCGATTACAGGCGTGAGCCACCGTGCCCGGCCTCCACAAATCCTTCTTGCAGGTCCTAAAGCCTAGAGTTTGAGTTAAAGCACCAGCTCCACTTGCCTCTAGGTACCTCTAGAAGGTACTTCAAGGCTTGGGAAAAAGCATGGAGACTTCTGTTATCTCAACGGCTGAGTGGAAGAAACAGGAAAGTCCCGGTCCGTCTCAGTGCTATGGCACTGATAGTGTTAATAATAATAAAATGGTCCCCACTATGCTACACTCGCTATGAGCCAGACACTGCCCTAAGCTCCATATGTGCATTATTTCATCCGCTCTTCTAAACAACCCTATAGATGAGGTACTATTAAATTCCTCATTTTACAAATAAAAAGGCCAGGCGCAGTGGCTCATGCCTGTAATCCCAACACTTTGGGAGGCCGAGTTAGGAGGACTGCTTGGACCCAGAAGTTTGAGGCCAGCCTGGAAAGCATAGTGAGACCCTGTCTCTGTAAAAAATCAAAAAATTAGCCGGGCGTGGTAGCACACGCCTGTGGTCCCAGCTACTTGGGAGGCTGAGGTAGAAGGATTGCTTGGATCCAGAAGATCAAGGCTGCAGTGAGCCTGGAGTGACAGAGCAAGACCCTGTCTCAAAAAAAAATAAAGAAAGAAAGAAAGAAAGAAAAAGAAACAGGTACAGGACAGGACACATGGCTCGTGCCTTTAATTCTAGCACTTTGGGAGGCCGAGGCAGGAGGATCACTTGAGCCCAAGAGTTTAAGACCTGCCTGGGAAACACAGGGAGACCCCATCTCTACAAAAAATAAAAAATAAAAATTAGCTGGGTGTGGTGGCGCACACCTGTGGTCCCAGCTACCCAGAAGGCTGGGGTGGGAGGATCACTCCAGCCTAGGCAACAGAGTGAAACAGAGTGAGACCTTGTCTCAAAAAAGAAAGGACAGAAAGACAAGAGAGGGAGGGAGGGAGGGAGAGAGGGAGAGAGGGGAAGAGAGAGAGAGAGAGAAAAACGGGGGAAGGGAGGAAGGGAGGAAGGAAGAGAGGGAGGGAGGGAGGGAGGGAGGGAGGGAGGGAGGGAGGAAGGGGCTCAGAGGGAACAAGTAACTTGTTACACGTTCAGAGTGGTTGTAAGTAACAGAGCTGAGATTTGAACCAACATCTCTCTGCTTCTAGAGCCTGAGGTCTTCAGAGCCCACCAGAAGGACTATAGCTGAGAGATCACTCCTCCTCCCAAGACCTTGGTCTCTAGGGTCCTGCAGGAGGGATGAGGCCACTGCACCTGCAGCCCCACTCAAAACCCTCTGGGACACTGTGCCCCTGGCTTCCGCTCCTGCCCTTACCTCTATCTGGTCAATGGTCTCCTGATACTCCTTCTCCCGGGTTTTGAACAGGGACTCCGTATCTTTAATCACCTTCTCCAGGCTATCTTCCTGCTGCTGGAGTAGAAAGGGAAGCAGGGGAGGCCAGCCAGGGAGGGATGGGATAGGGCGCATTCCAAGGGCCAAGTCAGAGAGAGAGAGAGAGAGAGGAAGTCCGGTTAAAGAAACTGGAGAAAGAAAAGCAAAAGGATAAAGGAAGAGGGGAGACGCAGGTAGAGGATGACAGCCACATGGGGGGACAGAGCGAGGAGAGGAGCGGGGGGGTGGGCGTCAGGCTGGAGAGGCAGAGCCAGAGGGCCCTGAGGCCGGGAGCAGAGGTTACCTCTCCCTGGGCCTCTGCAGCTGCCATGGCATAGCCTGAGAAATCCTCCCAAAGCAGCAGGGTCTCCTCAGTCTCCTCCCAAGTCAGGCTGTCACAGTCGTCCTCAAAATCATACTCCCTCCTAGAGACAGGGAACCCGGGTGTCAGGGCGGGCGGGGCCTCGTCCTGGCGGGGGACTGGGGAGCTCCGGCCTCCTGGGCTGCTGTGGCATCGGTGCTACGGGAGCACGGCCTGCGGACTCACAGCTGGTTGAGCATGCGCTGCATCTCCTCGTTGATGCTGAGGGCTGTGCTCTCCTCCTCATCCCCATCGGGCTGGCGGGGCCCCTCACTCTCCGACAGGGAGGTGTCCTCCTCGACGGCAGCCTTGCGCTCCCGCTTCCGCCCCCCCATGGATGGGACCTTAATGGGAGACAAGTGCAGAGACTACAGAGACGAGGCCGGGTGCATGAGGAGAAAGGGCGGGAGCGGGAGGCCGGGCAGAGAGGGCGGGAATGGGGGAGAAGCGTGAACCAGCAGGAAGGGTGGGGCAGACAGAGAGAAAAGTCACAGTTACAATGACAGGAACAGAAACACGGACAGTCACCAAGGGCCAGGCACACAGACACACAGCAGAGGCCAGGGCTGCAGACTGAGAAGGCAGAACAAGAAGAAATCGAGAAAGAGAGAGTCAGACAAGGGAGGAAGGGCTCGCTGGGGCCGCAGTCAGATGTGCATGATGGCTCAAGAGGAAATTTATTTTCTACAAAAAGTCTTTCTGATTAAATGACTCAACTAAAAAAAAAGCTTTAGGTTGCAAGGAGGATGAGGGTGCAATGTGTACAAAGGAGAACCTGAATCACATCCAGATCTGGAAAGCCAGGGGAGAAGGGAGAGAAAGAAATGCAGTCAAGAGAACAAGAGATAGAGAGAAAAAGGGGAAGAGCAAGGAAAAGAGAAAGGGCAGAAAAAAAATCAGTGCTCAAGAGCCCAGCGGGCCCAAACTGAGGGCCAGGAGGCCTAGGCAGCTTAGAACTGGGACTGGGACATTAATAAGCTTGCATGAGATCAAACTAACCAGCTTCTTCTGTGGAGAAGGCAAGAGAGAAGATAAGAGGAAGAGAGGAGAGGAAGCAGACAGAGGAGAGAGAGGGGAGGGGGAGACGGCGTTAGAGACCGCTTCCACAATCCCCTCCTGACGCTGCTCCTTACCCCCCAGCCTAGCCCCGTGAGGGCCCCAGGTGCCAGGTAAGGCTCCCCAAGCAGGAGGCAGGGCCTGCGTTCCAGGCCAGCCGCCAAGGAAGCATCTCCCTGCCCCACCCACCCCTGAGAGCAGAGGGCAGCTCCGTCCTCACCTGGAACATCTGGATCATGTCCTCGCAGTTGCGCTGCTGAGCCACATCGCAGAGCTTGGCAGTGATGTCGATGCGGCGGCAGATGTCCATATCCACCTTCATGGCTTTCTCCTGGATCTTGGTGTCCAGCTCCGACAGGTTCTGTCCAGGGAGCCCAGGGAACAGTGAGGAGGCGGCCAGTTCTCCAGACAAGGACGAATGAGGCCTGGCAAGGTCCTCATCCTTCCCACCACATTGCACTGGTGCCTCTTCTGTGGAGTCTCCCTGAGCTGAGTGCACCCCTCTTCCTGGGGAGCGGGGGCCCCCCCACAGCACTGTGTGCATGTGCTAGGCAACGGGCAACTCGGGCCGCTGCTCCCTGACCAAACGGAAGCCCTGAAGAGCATGGCCAGTGCCCGGGACATACAGGGGCTCACTGGAACCATTAGCGGTCCTCATCCTCCTGGAACTTACATCCCCAGAGAGAAAGAGACTCCTGGGAATTGTAAGAGTGGAGAAAGGACTATACTACTCGCAAAAGCTCACACTCTTCCAGCTAACACTGCGCGCTGGGCACCGTCCTGAGTACATGATCACCTCCACGATACTCCTGCAGAGTGCACGCCTTTATTTTCCCACGCCAAAGATGACGCCTCAGAGGCTGAGGAATCGGCCCAGGGCCCCGGTGCCAGCTGCAGAGCCTCCACCCCAGAAGCCGCTCACTAACTGCTCTGTAACCCTAGGCCCTCAGAATCTCATCACCTCTGTGACGCAACACCAAGACTTTTGTTCCTTCTCTTTCTCTGGAGTTAGGGGTGGCTGGGGGAAAAGGGAAGGAGAGCAAAAAGAAGGGGAGGAGCTGTGGATGGGACACCAACAGGCCAACACTGGAAGGGCCTGCTCCTCTGGCCTCAGAAGCCTCACTTCGACCCTCGGGGAAGCCTGGGGCTGCACTCACGTTACTCATGAGCCCCTTGAAGACCACCAGCTCAGCCTTCAACTGTTCCACCTTCAGTGCCAGCTCCTCCTGGCAGGCATCAGCCTCCTGGGCTTCCTGCAGTTGGGAGAAACCCTGATGTTAGTGGCACTGCCGAGGTGGAAGGAAGATAAAGATGACAAGGAGGGACAGGAGATGGCAGCAGGGTCATGGGCAGACAGGGGCACCCAGTGAAGCACCAGCAGCAAGTGGGGTGCCACCCTCACCTCCTGGAGCTCATTTACACGGTCTTGCAGCTGGATCCGCACCGTGTACTCCTCTTCCCACCTGACAGACATGGGAAGGGCAGAGAGAGCTTAGGTAGAGTCCTTCCCTGCCCCCATGGCTCCCTGTCCCCACCTCTCTGGCTCAGGCCTCAGACCCCAGTTCTGGTTCCCTGGATGGGGAGAAGCAGGGCACGGGAATGCCTGGCCAGCCAGCTGGTGACCAACTGCAGCTGTCACGTGGCTCTGTGCTTCCTGACGGGCGTCCAGCTCGCCAGCTGCCTTCCCGGAACCTCCGGGCCACACACCAGGAGCTCTGTTTGGGCAACTGCTGAGGCTCCAGTCCTCTGCGGCGCCCATCCCCGCTCAGGCCCCAGCTCAGCCAGCTGTCTGGCTGGCCTCATCGCCCACCGCCTGCCCACACCAGACCACCAGGTCCACCCGGCCCAGTCTCCCACCTTCAGTCGCACAGATCCAGGCTCCCGCCTCCTGCCCGCACCAGAACAGAGCTCGTCGAGCCCGCTGCCCTGCCTCTTGTGGTATCATTTAACCCTGTAAAAGCATCTGCAGGACACATACTGTATCAACAGAGTGGGTCAAGAGCCTGGTAGGAGACACTCAAAGTCCTTCCCCACAAGCTCCAGAAACTGCCCACCCAGAGCCTCCTCTAAGTGAGTCACAGAGAGGCGGCCAGGCTGGCTCAGAGGCCAGAAGTCCTACAGCAGCATGACAGCAGTGGAAACACGAGCCTGGGGTTACTAGCGCTCCAACCCAGAGGGAAAGAGAAAGCAGAGTATGTAAAGGGGCCCGGTGAGTACGGCGGATGAGAACTAGAAGCAGCCTCTTGCGGGGCCCAGAGTTCAGAGATGAAGGCTGCAGGTGGGCTGGACGACACTCTGGGCCACAGGGCAGGGTCCTAGGTAGGGCATGCTTCCCAGAGCCAGCTTTGTCATGTCTCATCAGCCATGGCAGGCGGCGCATATTCCATTCCATCACAGAGATGGAAGCCAGGGCAATGTGCTGCTTAGGACCTGCCTGGCGTTCCAGGGCCCCGCAGTCTAGCTGGTGTAGCAGCACATCTCAGACCCTGTTCCTGTGAGCTCATCCCTTCTGCCAGCCTGAGAAAGGAGAGGAACTGCACCAAGAGAGAAACTTCAACACAAGAAAGGTGGTTAGGAAGGGGCCAAGAAGACAGCAAGAAAAACGAAAATCTAAGTGGGCAGCTTCTGAAGCCTTGGCTTAAGCCCTTTCTTCCCCTTCCCTCCATCTTCCTTCCTATGTCAGCCTCTGGGTCCCATTCTCCTCACTCACAGCCGCACTGCAGTATTCCTAATAATAACTCCTCTACATCACCTCGGCTGCCCCTCCCTGCTGGGCAGAGCAGGAGGAGGCAGCCAGCCCAGCCACCACCCTGCCAGCTCCCCACACAGCCAGGCTCCCCACACAGCCCAGCTCCCAGCCTTCCTGGCTCCCAGCCCCCTTCCCTGTGTGTCCCACAGGTGCTTCTCCCCTCCCCCCTGGCATTCTCATGCACAGTCAGGCCACTAAGGGCCATAGTTGCATCAGGTTATATGTTTTCTTAGCTAAGCCCCTTATCTTTTCTGGGTCTTGGTTTCTTCATCTACGATGTGAAGGCATGAACTGTGGTGCCCTCATGCCCCTGGAGCCCATGAGTCCCTCGAGGAAGACAGTAAACCTGTCAAGGGCATGCTAACTCTGGACAAGATGTGTGAGGGAGGGCAGGAGGGGCTATCTGACAGTGAGCTCAACAAAACCTGGAAGAAACTTAAGGAAGGCGGTTAGCTAAAGGTTAAGCTTAAGGAAATCTTACAGGGTAAAAAATCTAAAAATGAATCACCTGGAAGTCCACTACAATTCTATTGTTCTTTAGCCAGATTTCACACAAACAGGTTCATTTTCACCTCCATTTCCATCTGGTCTCACTTACAAGGTTCCCTTAACATGGGCAGAATCTGAGAGCGATTTCCATGCATTCTGCATGAACCAAACACCACTCTTAGAAAAAACTCTATCCCTGGGTTGAAGAGAGAAAGCAGGGACCAATCCTAGGTTGGAAAAATGGGGGCTCAAAAAAAGGTCACACGCAAGGCAGGGGAGCTGAAAATAGAACCCAGGAGGCCTTCAGCTACCTCCCAGTTTAGTGCTCAAGCCATCCCAGGCCTTCCAGGCAGAAAACAGGAGTTACAGTGTTGCTATAAAGAGACCAGAATGAGGGCAAGGGATCTGGGGTGGAAGAAGAGTCACTGCCAGTATCACGTACCATCCAAGTCTAGCTACGGCCTTCTACACAGCAGTGTGCTGCAGAGCTATGAGCTAATCAGTCCCCAAGGAATAACTCTTTCCTGCCCTGGACAGCTGGACCAAGGACAAACGCTCCTTCAGTTTAAAAAAAAAAAAGAAAAGAAAAAGCTCCTGAGAACAGCAATTGTTCCTGTGGTTATGGATGTATTCCAGAACTGTGCCTGTTCCACTGCTGAGTGTGTCAGTTAGCTCCTGCACGGGCAAAGCAGGCTGGTTCGGGTGCCAGAATGACTTCAGGACAACTGAAACTCCCAAGGACATGTAACATGGACCACAACTAAGGAAGCCAGCACAAGGACAGGACTCAAGCTCAGAAAGCCTGCTGATCTCTGATCTGGTAAACTCCAGCAGGGTGGAGATCCCTGAAGGTCGCCCCCACACCCAGTGGTCATTTCCTAGAACATTCGGCCAATCCTCACCCAGCGCTGAATCTCGGCTACACTGGGCTGCATAGGTAGTTCCCAGGCCCGCCCACAAGGGGTCCTAATAGCTGAGATGAGAGGGGAGACCGCCAAACCAAAGTCTTCTCTGACTGTCAGTCACCGCCTTCCTCCTCAAGGCATGGGTTGGAGTCTGCAAGACGCTACCTCTGTTCTCCTGTCCTATCGACTTGGTTATCAGCCATCTAAGGAATCCACTTGGTATACAGCCAGCACTCCTGGCATCACATCCCTTCCCCTTGCCCCTTGGGACCAGGCTCCTCTCAGACAGCCAAATCTTCATCCACAGAATGCACTGGGCCCGCCCCGCGGCCTCGCAGTCCTAGGGAGTGTCCATATCCCAGCTTCTCCCCGCTCAGTCCCCTGCTGGCTCTCCACTCTCCCTCCACCGCTGGCGTTTTATACTGCCAAGAGATTCCCCCATCAGCCCTGCTCTCCACCCTCACCCTAGGGAATTCCCTTCACTCTTTCTTTTCCCACTTTGTTGACCTACTCAAGCAATGAGGTCCCGGAGCTTTTCCTATGAAACCACAGCAGGTACCTGGTTTCCATCAGTATTCTTTGAGAAACCTTGGGCTGTGAAAGAATCACCCGTTGCAAGGTACAGCCCCTTCCTTACCACCCCCTTCCAATTTCACTCAATTTACTCTCCCAAAATGACGCTATATCCTTGCCTCCTACTTTTCAAGTTTATATCCCTAAACTGCACCAGGGCTGAGACCGGTAGGGCTCAGACCCAGTCCCTTTCACACCCACAAAGCCCGCAGTTAAGCCTGGATGCAGAGACAAGCCGGAAAAGTAGGAATTCCCCAGTGTTCCGCTCCCAGCGTCCTTCTTCCTGTCACGAGTGGGGCTTCTGCATTCTCTGCAGATTCTAGTCTCCCTGCGTCCAATTCCTTCCAAGCTCCTCATTATACAGCACAAACTTTCCTCTCATTCTTTTCACCCCTGATTCTTCGGAACCCACACCGACTCCCGGCCCGTTGTGAGGGGCATGACACAGAGAGCCCTGTCCCCTCTTCCCAATCCCTACCTCCGCTTGTACTCGTCCCGCTCCCGCTTCACTTTGGCCAGCACGTTGTAGAGCGCGCGGATCTCGGGCGTGATGGTGTCGATTTGGACGCCCACCCCATCCGGGTGCACCCACGACAAGCCAGGCCCTTGCACCAGAGTGGGCTCCAGTCCCGGCCCGAGCCGGCGGGCGTGCGAGAACGACCAGATGGTGCCGGGCATGAAGCGGGCAGACGAGGAGTAGGCGGTGGAGGTGGAGGTGGAAGACGACGAGAGGCTGGCCGCGGAGGGCGCGAGGGGGCCGGCCGGAGAGCGCGCGGGCGAGCCCAGCACCCGCGCCGACGGGCTGCAGACAGCGGCCGGCCGGGCGCCCAGCGGCAGCCCCAGGGGCCGGATGGGGCTGACGAAGCCGGTCTGCACGGCCTGGTCGCGACGACCCAGGCCCCGCCGGCCCTGCTTACCCTCCTCCAGCGCTTGCTGCAGCTGCTTCTCCAACAGCCGGTTCCGGCGCTCCAGCTCATGCACCTTGGCCAGGAAGCAGCGGAACCGGAGGTTCAGGGTCTTGAGCACGTTGATGTTGGAGCCCAGGTCATTGCGGAGGGCCATGGCGGCAGGCGGGGCCGGGCCCGGCCCGGGGGGCGAGTAGGCAGCAGGGCCGGCCGGCGAGAGAGGCGCCGGGGGTAAGTCTCCTCCCCCGGCGAAGTGGTCGCCTCCCAGTGAGTCCCCCAGCGGCCCGGCCAGGCCCTGCTGCTCCTGCTGTAGGAGGAAGAGGTTGGGGCCGAATAACGGATTCATGGCTGCGCCTTCTGCTGGGAGATGCAAACCAGTGCAAGAGCAGGGATGGAGGGCGAGCGAGAAGAGCCAATGCGGCGCCGGCGGGACAGGGTCGACCAATCAGGAGGCTCGGCGGCAGGGCAGAGGTCAGGGGGCGGGCCGAGGGGGAAGCCAATGACAGGCTCCAATTGGAGGCCGGACCCTGGACCTTTCCGGATCTGAAGCCGAGCCCAGGGATGAGGGGCCCACCGCCTGGAATCCAGCTGGGGTGGCGTAAAGCCCAGGCCCTCCAGTACCCCATGGGTTCTGGTGGCAAGCCCATCTCCCCTACGCTACTTTTTTTCTGAGACCGAGTCTCACTGTCGCTCAAACTGGAGTGCAGTAGCGTGATTTCGGCTCACTGCAACCTCAGCCTCCCAGGTTCAAGCGATTCTCCTGCCGCAGTCTCCCGAGTAGTTAGGATTACAGGTGCCCGCCACCATGCCCGGCTAATTTTTTGTATTTTTAGTGGAGACGAGGTTTCACCATGTTAGCCAGGCTGGTCTCGAACTCCTGACCGCAGGTGATCCACCCACCTTGGCCTCCCAAAGTGCTGGGATTACAGGCGTGAGCCAGCATGCCCGGCCTTCCCCTACACTTCTATTGCCCTCCTCTCCCCAGAGTTCAATCACCCCTAGCTCTGACTCCAGGGCTCTCCCTTCCTGGGAAGACTCAAGGCTGCAGGAGCCTAAAACTGACCTGATTTCTCAGTAGCACCCAACCATTCCCTCTCCTCAGAAGATCCCAGTCCCACCTTCCCACCTCTACCCTTAAAGCAGCAAAGGCAGTACCCAGTTCCCTCAAAAATACTCAGCGGCCAGAGGTTGTAAAATGTGTATTAAATTTCATGGGTATGCACAGTGGAGAAGGCATCCTCATAGAGGCAAGAGTTCCAACCCGGTGACAATGGCAGTGAGCCACCCCAGTCTAGTTTTCAACCATCTAAGACAGGAGCAGCTGGCCATTGCCCCTGGACTGAGATTTCTTCCTCTTTGCTGGTGGGGGGCGGCTGGAACTGATGGGAGACACAGTCGGAGGCTGAGGCCCCTTGGGGGTGTCATTCTGTTTCTGGAAGGCAGCTTTCTTGAAAGGCTGCTCTGGCAACTGCTGCTTCTCAACCCCCTTGGCCCTTCCAAGGGGGTGATGATGGTCCTTAGGTTTCAGGGTGGCCTGAGTCTTGGATGGGGATAACACAGCCGGTGTTTCTGTGTCTGTGCCCTTGGGAGGGGCATTCTGCTTGAGGAAGGCAACTTTCTTGGAGGACTGTAATTTAGGCGATCGTTGCTTTAGCTTCCCAGTCACCTTGGACTCCCTGATCCCTTCGGCTTTTCCAGCTGGCTGACTGCTATCCTGGCACCTGGAGGAAGCTTGGGTCTTTCTGACAGAAGGTACAGTGGACAATTCTGAGTCTGCCCCTTTAGAGGTGCCATTCGGCTTCTGGAAGGAGGCCTTCTTGGGACGTTGCTGTTTCTGCAGCTGCTGCTTTGTCTTTGCAGCCCCCTTGGCCTTTTTGGCTGGCTGGCTGCTGTTCTCAGACTTGGGGATGACCTGAGGCAAGTCTACATTTTTAGGTGTGGCTGTTTCAGAATTTCCTGGGGTTAAAATTAAACAGATGGTGTCAGAAAATAGGCCTTATCACCGTATTTTATTTTATTTTATTTTATTTGAGACGGAGCCTCGCTCTGTCGTCCAGGCTGGAGTGCAGTGGCATGATCTCGGCTCACTGCAAGCTCCACCTCCCAGGCTCACACCATTCTTCTACCTCAGCCTCCGGAGTAGCTGGGACTACAGGCGCCGGCCACCATGCCCATAGAATTTTTTTTATTTTTAGTGGGGACAGGGTTTCACCGTGTTAGCCAGGATGGTCTCGATCTCCTGACCTCGTGATCCGCCCACCTCAGCCTCCCAAAGTGAGCTGGGATTACAGGCATGAGCCACTGTGCCTGGCCTATCACCATATTTTAATATTCTCATATTAAAATATGAGAATTGCCATCTCTTGGGCAGGAGCTCCACACATTTAGGTCAGTGCCTAAGAGCAGATTACCGAAATTCCCATTACTTAATTAACTTGGCCTTTACTCAAGTCCTACTTGAACCTTGTATTAAGAGATCACTGCTTATAGGCCAGGTGTGGTAGCTCACACCTGTAATTCCAGCACTTTGGGAGGCCAAGGCAAGTGGATTGCTTGAGGCTAGGAGTTCAAGACCAGCCTAGTCAACATGGTGAAATCGTCTCTACTAAAAAGATAAAAATTAGCCAGGGATGGTGGTACCTGTCCACACCTGTAATCCTAGCTACTTGGGAGTCTGAGACACAAGAATCACTTGAACCTGGAAGGTGGAGGTTGCAATGAGCTGAGACTGCACCACTGCAGTCCAGCCTGAACAATAGAGCAAGACATTGTCTCAAAAAAAAAAAAAAAAAAAAAATCACTGCCTATCCTTGGGCCAAAAGATTTTTTACAGGAAGCTGCGCCCTCTTGAGGACAGGAAGTAACAAGACGCTGTAAGGAAAAAATTAATTGGTTTTGGGTATTTTTTTTTTTTTTTGAGACAGAGTCTTGCTCTGTCGCCCCAGCTGGAGTGCAGTGGTGTGATCTCGGCTCACTGCAACCTCTGCCTCCTGGGTTCAAGCGATTCTCCTGCCTCAGACTCCCGACAATCACAAGCGTGTGCCACCATGTCCGGCTAAGTTTTGTATTTTTAGTAGAGACGGGGTTTCACCATGTTGACCAGCTGGTCGAACTCCTGACCTCGGGTGATCCACCCGCCTCAGCCTCCCTAAGTGCTGGGGTTACAGGCAGGCACGAGCCACCACGCCCGGCCTCACAGAGTCTTCTAAATGAATTTGAAGCACTAGCCTTTATTTTATTTACTTTTTTTTTTTTTTTTTTTTGAGGCAGGGTCTCACTGTGTTGCCCAGGCTGGAGTACAGTGGTGCCATCATAGCTCACTGCAACCTCAAACTCCTGGGGCTCAAGGGATCCTCCTGCCTCAGCCTCCAGAGTAGCTGGAACTACAGACAAAGTCTCCCTTTGTTGCCCAGACAGGTCTCAAACTTGTGGTCTTAAGCGATCCTCCTACCTCAGCCTCCCAAAGTACTGGGATTTACAGGCATGAGCCACCACCATACCTGGCCTATTTATTTTTTAAATCAGAGAAGTTTTTTTCCACACGGATTATGATGAACTGCAGGATAATTAAAATATGTACTTTTTAAGTTATAGCAAATTTTACTATTTCTTTTTTTTGAGACAGAATTTTGCTCTTGTTGCCCAGGCTGGAAAGCAATAGCATGATCTCAGCTTACTGAAACCTCCACCTCCTAGGTTCAAGCAATTCTCCTGCCTCAGCCTCCTGAGTAGCTGGGATTACAGGCATGCACCACCACACCCAACTAATTATTATATTTTTAGTAGAGACGGGGTTTCACCATGTGGAATTCCTGACCTCAGGTGAGTGCTGGGATTATACGCATGAGCCACCACGCCCAGACAAATTCTACTATTTCTGAAGTAGCTCTTCTCTCCCTCTTGCAATTAAACCCAGGGTTATATCCCAGTAAGTAGTGTTCTCAAGGCTGTTTCAGAAAACCCCACCCTTCCCTTGAGATGCAGGCCGGACTCCTCAAGATGGCTGAGAAAACAATCTGCAATGAGTGTGACGGGCTGAGAACTGCTGACAAAGCTCTGTGGAGCTCCGTTCCAACCCAGTGCTGAGAATGCTGGACCAGCAGAGGTACAGTACCAGTAAGTCAACCCTCTGCCAAGAAGGAAAAGAAACCACAACCTTCATTTGGAATGTATTTAGTGCTGAACAACTGCAGCCACTTGGCAGAATAAAGGAAAAGGCCTCCATCCATATGAACACTTCAGCTTATTCACATGGGGTCCAGCACTCAAAAGCAATTCTAGCTGGAATGAGAGGGTTCCCTCATCCAAGCATGCAAAGGTTGGAGTAAGGGATGCATGAATCTTTCCTTTCCCTTCCCTTCTGTCACGCCATAAAGGCTCCTGAAAGGTGAAAAGAGCAAAGGTGGTGATGAAGGGTAGAAAAAGATCACTCACCTGTCTCGGACTGAGGGATAGAATTGGAGAATTTCTTGAACTTGGCAATGAAGAACCCATCCATATTGTGGGTATGAGGGTAGAAGCGTCGGGCAGAACGCAGACTGGGGTGGAAGCGCCTTTCTCGAAAGCGGGTAAAACCCTCCTGGCCAAAGTCTAGGCCTGTGGGCACCAGTCGCACATTCCTCTTTTTCAGAGCATAGTCTACCACCCACTCATTCTCTTCCACCTGGATGTTGGGGGAAGATAAACAAGGGAGGAAAAAGCAGAGCTGGAGCTGAAGGGAGCTCATGGGGCAAAGAGCCCCCCAGCCCAGCCTCCCCTGCTCTGCCATGGCAGAGGCCTCACCATGATAGAACAGGTGCAGTAAACAAGGTAGCCTCCTGTCTTGGAGGTGGCATTCACAGAGTCAATAGCACTCAGAAGCAACTCCTTCTGGAGGTGAGCACAGCGCAGGATGTCCTTCTCATCCTGTCCCAAAAAGAGACCCAAAGGCAGCCTCAGGAGGAGAGGGGAGCCCAGAGCATGTCCCCATTTCACTTTCCAGCTCTACGAGACCCAGCCAAGGCGTCTCAGTGGCCACCACCTGACTCCTCACCTTGTTAGTCTTCACGGTTGGGTCCTTGGAGATGACCCCAGTGCCACTGCAGGGAGCATCCAGCAGCACTCGGTCAAAGCCCCCCACCACCTGGGGAAAAGATACAGATGAATCCTATGTCTCTTCCGCAACCAGCAGCGCACTATTTACTAGGGTCAAGTCTGAACACTGAGGTCAGGAAGGGAGAAGGTCAACTGCAAGAAGCCTCAGGAGACACACAGCTTGAGTCTCACCTTGGGGAACTGGCGCCCATCATAGTGACTGATAACGGTGTTGGTGACTCCCAGCCGGTGCAAGTTGCCCACAACACTCTTAAGCCGCTCAGCATTGGCGTCATTGGCAAGGATCACACCCGTATTCTTCATCAACTGGGCTAAAGGGAGGGCAGTAACAGTGCTGATCAGCCAGTTCCACTGCCTCCATACTAGCTCCCACCCTCCTGCTCAGGAATCCACAGAAGTGGTATCACCTCAAGGCAACTTCACTCCCAACAAGCCTGCCTACTCTATAGGCTGATCCACTCTGCACTAGCCCCTGGTGGTCAGCAAGTCTACCAACGTGGTTTTCCCATTTTTACTGAACACCTATCTGGTCCTACATACTAAATTACTTCTTTTAAGTGATAGCAGCTTAATAAAAGTTATGGCTGCTGAGTATGTGCTGAATACCGCCAAGGACTTCTAAATGCATCATCTTAACCCTCACAATCCAAGCATAATCCAAGGGGAACCCCAAGCGCAATTACCATCCCATTTTACAGATGACAAAAGAGAATCCAGAGTCAGATGTGTATAAGTGGCACACCTGGCACTGGAACCCAGGCCGACTCCAGAGACTGCTCCTCACCACTCTGCTAGAGCCTGCACATCGTGTTCCGTGAGCGCTAGTGAGTCAGCAACCCCATCTACTTTCAAAAGCAAGACAGCCCGATGAATCCCACCTGCCTGCCCGTCTCATACCCATGTAGCTGGTCTTTCCTCCAGGGGCACAACACATGTCCAGGATCCGCTCATGTTCCTGGGGTGCCAAGGCCATGACGGGCAGCATGCTGGAGGCTCCCTGCAGCATGTAGTGCCCAGCCAGGTACTCGGGGGTGGCACCTGTGGAGGACCACCCTGTGACATGCGGTAGGGACAGGGACAGAGGCAGAAGGGCTCTTGGGTGGAGACTTACCAATGGGCACAGAAGAATCATATACCACTAGTCCAGTCTTTGACCACTTGCCCAGGGGATCCAGATTAACCCCACGATTGATTAGAGCCTGAAGAGGGATGAAGATTTTTTTTTTTTTTTTTGAGACGGAGTCTCACTCTGTTGCCCAGCCTAGAGTGAGGTGGCGCAACCTTGGCTCACAGCAACCTCCACCTCCCGGATTTAAGCAATTCTTTCTTATGCCTCAGCCTCCTGAGTAGGTGGGACTACAGGCATGTACCACCATGCCTGGCTAATTTTTGTATTTTTCATCAAGATGGGGTTTCACCATGTTGGCCAGGCTGGTCTCTAGCTCCTGACCTCAGGTGATCTGCCCGCCTCGGCCTCCCAAAGTGCTAGGATTACAGGTGTGAGCCACCGCACCCAATTGGGATGAAGATTTTAATAACCTCATAGGCTACTCTACCCAGAAAACAGATGAAGACATTAAAAACATGGCCCATGGCCCCACAACTCCTAGGGTGCTTGCTCCGAATACAGTCATCATGGACTCATTGAGCAGTTTCTCTTTCCCACTCCATCCTACGGTGCCCTTTTTTTTTTAACCTCAGGCTCCTAACTCAAGGTCTGAACTTCATCCCAATGGAGCAGGATGCCACCTCCTGTTACTTTATTTCCTGGAAGTGGCATCTGATTTTCTAAGAGGCTGACCCCTCCACCATACTAAAAATTTAATGATACTGGTTATAGCACATTACATTATTAGGTTTTCTTCACACCAGGAAATACACAACACATATAACCCAACAACTAACTTTAGAATGGGTCGTTAACCTGGGGTCCCTGAACCCTCAGAAATGAGTTTAAAATATTGACTGTGCACATGTATTTTTTTTCTGCAGTCAGGAATCATATTTCCCCAGCTCCTCAATCATCTCCCTCCATTTTCCTCGGGGGCAGCACGCTCATCCTGAAGTCTCATCATCCTAGTCACAGGGAACAGAGGTTGGAGGGATGAACTTCCCATTCCTCAGAGGTCCTAGGCCCCCAGCCTGCCAGAGATATCAGGCCTCTGGGTTTGCCCCTCAGGGTCATGCTTAGGTCCTAAGGCCCCACCCAGTCAGGGAAGCACAGGGCAATCTCTGGAGTTGGCAGAAATCACTTCCCTTCTGAGATGAGCAAGCCTCAAAGGCCACCCCTCACCTGGGCAAGGTCTCGGCGTCGGGTTTTCAAGGTATTGGTCCGGAGGGTGACGGGCCGAGGCACCTCATTAGCTTCTAAGAACTCCACCAGCTGCCAGGCAAGACAGCAGGGAATAAATGAGGATGGCTAAGGAGCTCAGTCAGGGGAGCGGGGCAAGGGGGCTGAACCTCTTCCTTACACAGGGTAAGGAGGTGAGAAAAGAGAGGAGGCATTCTGGCAATCCAGTACCTCAGACAGAGGGAAGAGGTCCATGAGCTTGCCAAGCAGGAAGTCTCCATAGGAGTAGTAAGTGGCCAGATCCTTCTTGAGCCGGTTCAGGTATTCAGAACGAGACCGCCCTTCCTCCCGCTGAGCCCCAAAATCACGCAGAATTCCCACGATATCCTGGATCCGCTTGTGAACTCGTTGCAGGTCTGGAGCCTGGGCATGTGGGCCTGTTAAGGAACTGTGTCATGATGTCCTAGGGCCTGGAAATCCCTCTCCCAAGCACCTTCCTCCTAACTCTTCACTCTGTCCTGCAAGGATATCCTGCTCCATCTCCCCGGCAGGGGGCAGCACAAATGGTTCCTCATCCACATTGATCTGCAGGCCCCCATCTGCCTCCTCCTCCTTTGAGGGGCCGGACTCAGGGGTCACTTCTTCCTCCTCATCCTCCGTCTCCTCTTCACTCCACTGGACCCTAGAAACAGGTCCAAGAATAGAGTGATTCACAGACCAAAACAGACACCTCCTCCTTCCACACAGCTTCCCCACCCTAGCCGCTGCCTATGCTCCATCCCAGTAGCTTCCAAAACTCACCCAGCAGCAGCTTCCCGGACCTTCTGCTTCCGAGCAGCTCTTTCAATGGGCAGCAGCTGAAGAGACACAAGGGCTGTTAATACAGGCCTGCCCTTCCATCAGCCCTTGTAGCACTTTCTATCTCTGTATCTTATTTTCTCGCTAAATAAAAATCCAACACTTGCTCTCAGAAGGAAATAGAGGAGCAAAGAAACGAAGATAAAATTGGCAGAATATTGATCACTGTTGAAACTAAGTAATGAGGGCATGGTGGTGCACGCCTGTAAATCCCAGCTACTCAGGAAGCTGAGGCAGGAGAATTGCTTGAACCCGGAAGGTGGAGGTTGCAGTGAGCCAAGATGGAGCCACTGCACTCCAGCCTGGGCAACAGAACAAGACTCCATCTCAAAAAAAAAAAAAAACAAAACAAAAACCAAGTAATGAATTAAAGGGTTCATTACATTTTTCTTTCTACTATTATGTGTTTTTCACTTTTCCATTAAGAAAAAAAAAAAAAAAAACTTGAAAAACACCTGCACATATAAAGGACAAAAATTGCCCTTGACTACAATTTTGCCATATTTTTTTTAGAGAAGTCTTGCTCTTGTCCCCCAGGATGGAGTGCAATGGCACGATCTTGGCTCACTGCAACCTCCGCCTCCCAGGTTCAAACGATTCTCCTGCCTCAACCTTCCAAGTAGCTGGGATTATAGGCATGCACTACCATGCCCAGCTAATTTTTTGTATTTTTAGCAGAGACGGGGTTTCACCATGTTGGCCAGGCTGGTCTCGAACTCCTGACCTCAGGTGATTTGCCCACTCGGCCTCCCAAAGTGCTGGGATTAAAGGTGTGAGCCACCACGCCTGGCCCATTTTGCTATATTTTTTTCAAGTTTGTTTCTTTTTTTTTTTTTTTTTTTTTTTTGAGACGGAGTCTCGCTCTGTCGCCCAGGCTGGAGTGCAGTGGCCAGATCTCAGCTCACTGCAAGCTCCGCCTCCCGGGTTCACGCCATTCTCCTGCCTCAGTCTCCTGAGTAGCTGGGACTACAGGCGCCCACCACCTCGCCCGGCTAGTTTTTTGTATTTTTTTAGTAGAGACGGGGTTTCACCGTGTTAGCCAGGATGGTCTCGATCTCCTGACCGCGTGATCCGCCCGTCTCGGCCTCCCAAAGTGCTGGGATTACAGGCTTGAGCCACCGCGCCCGGCCAAGTTTGTTTCTTGCTTTTTAGACTTCAGTTAAATCACAGGCATTTTCATAGACACAATGACCAGTGTTAACTGCATCATATGCATGAACCATAACTTAAACATATTGTATATTTTGGAAGTTTCCAGAGTTTTTGGCATTATGATCCACATGGTGCCTGCAAACCTAATAATGACCCTATAGATACAAAGGGATGGAAGAAAGGGGTGCACATGGGGACTTTCTCTTTTTTTTCTATACGATTCTAATAATACATCTACATACTAATTGTATAATAATTTCCTGCACCTCAGTAAAGAACTATTTGCTGATGTTTTGGATCATCTTCCTTAATAGGGAATTACTATGTCAAAAGGAAGAAGTTTTTGTGTTTTTTTTTTGAGACAGTCTCACTCTGTCACCCAGGCTGGAGTGCAGTGGTAAGATCACAGCTCACTGCAGCCTCAACCTCCCAAGCTCCAGTCATCTTCCTGCCTCAGCATCCTGAGTAGCTGGGACTACAGGCGTACGCCACCACACCCAGCTAATTTTTAAACAATTTTTTTTTTTTTTTTTTTGAGACAGAGTCTCACGCTGTTGCCCAGGCTGGAGTGCAGTGGCGCAATCTCGGCTCACTGCAAGCTCCGCCTCCCGGGTTCCCGCCATTCTCCTGCCTCAGCCTCCTGAGTAGCTGGGACTACAGGCGCCCGCCACCGCGCCCGGCTAATTTTTTGTATTTTTAGTAGAGACGGGGTTTCACTGTGGTCTCGATCTCCTGACCTTGTGATCCGCCCGCCTCGGCCTCCCAAAGTGCTGGGATTACAGGCTTGAGCCACCGCGCCCGGCTAAACAATTTTTTTAACTTTTTTTTTTATTTTTTTTGAGACAGAGTCTCACTTTGTTGCCCAGGCTGGAGTGCAATGGCACGATCTCGGCTCACTGCAACCTCCGCCTCCCAGGTTCAAGCGATTCTCCTGCCTCAGCCTCCCGGGTAGCTAGGAGTAACTGGGATTACAGGTGCACACCACCACACCAGCTAATTTTTGTATTTTTAGTAGAGATGAGGTTTTGCCACGTTGTCCAGGCTGGTCTCCAACTCCTGAGCTCAGGTGATCCGCTCACCTCGGCCTCCCAAGTGCCAGGATTATAGGCGTGAGCCACTGCACCCAGCCAATTTTTTAATTTTTTGTAGAGACGGTATCTCCCTGTGTTGCTCAAGCTGGTCTCCAACTCCTAGGCTCAAGCAATTCTCCTGCCTCAGCCTCCCAAAGTGCTGGGATTACAAACGTGAGCCACCATACCCAGCCAAAAGGAACAAATATTTCACAGTTCTGAGATAACTGCTTTATAAAAAGTGCATTTCTGTTCCCATCAGTGGAGCACACCATTGTCCACCTTCCCACATCCACACCAAGAGAGCCTTCTAGATTTTTTTAAATGCTCTATTCTACAGCTCCTTCAAACTTGTAGGTGCACTGGGAGAGGATATAAGGCAGTAGGGAAACAGTGATGGAGCACAAAAACCCCTTTCCTCTAGTCAGGCTTATCCTTGCCACTAAGAAACAGTCTCAAGAATCTGGAAAGAAACTAAATAGCAAGGGTCCTTCTCTGAATGCCCAGAGATGAATCTCACCTCTTCACCTTCCTCCTCATCCTCAGAGTTGGAGTCAGCTCCATAGTCATCTACCATATCAGCATCATCCTCGGAGCCCCAGAGGTCCCCCTGGTTCACCACATCATCTTCTTCAGAGTCTTCCTCCTCCTCTTCCTCATCACTGCTAGGTGCTGGGCGCTTCTTGCCTTGAGCAGCATTAAATAGGGACTGGGGTCCCTTCTTACCAGCTGTCTGGACAGCTCCTGCAAAGATCCCTAAGGGTTTGACGAGTCCTGGACTAATGGCAGCCACACATTCCCGGGCCCCACACCCTGGGGAGCCTGTACTTTCTACCCCTCAGAATGTCCTCTGGCTGTTCCTTTCATTCCGGAAATGTTTAGCAAGTCCTTCCCTACCCAGGACCCAGAGGACTCCTCATGTAGCATCCAGCTCTTAGTTTCACTGACCTTTTGGTAGCTTTCCAGGCAATGGTTTGGCCTCAGGGGACTTATTTGTCTTAGGGACTTCAGCAGAACCCAGCCTCCTCTTGGCTGCCCTGAAAAGACACAAGAGATTCAAGGAGTAAAGAAATGGAAAGATATTTTCAGGTTCTGCCATTTCCACCATAGGGAAAAGTGAGAGTCCAGAATTAACTCTGTGGTCAAAGATAAGCTGTACCAATTAAGTCCTGACACCCACACTTACCTCTTTCGAGCACGACTAGACAGCCTCTTGGAATTTTCGTCACTTACTGTTTGAAAAAGAAAAACGAGGCAGAACAAGTTACAGGGGACACTGAAAATAAATGGGAATGGAAATAAACATGGTAAGAGAATTAGTACACTAATTAAAAGGAGTCCATTTAAATCTCAGCCCTGTCATTATTTAATAATTGTATATGAGTTTCTTTTTTTTTTGAAATGGAGTTTCACTCTTGGTCTTCCAGGCTGGAGTGGTGCAATGGCGTGATCTCAGCTCACTGCAACCTCCGTCTCCCAGGTTCAAGCGATTCTATTGCCTCAGCCTCCCACCACCACACCCAACTAATTTTTGTATTTTTAGTAGAGACACGGTTTCACCATGTTGGCCAGGCTGGCCTTGAACACCGGACCTCAGGTGATCCACCTGCCTCGGCCTCCCAAAGTGCTGGGATTACAGACGTGAGCCACTGAGCCTGGCTATACGAGTTTCTTAACCTCTCCGCATCCATTTCCTTAATAGTGCCTCTCTCACAGGGCTCTAAGATGATGAAGTGACATAACAAGACCAACAAGTTCAACATAGTGCCCAGGACTTGCTACTATCTCAATAAACTGCATCCTTTATCCAAAGCCCAACACAAACTCCAGGTCCTGTGTTATCTCCCACCAGTCTTCCACACAGTAGACTACTACTTGGCATGGAGAAGCCGGATCCGTGCTTTTCCATTTCCATTCCTTCCAAAAAATCAATGACTGACCCCTCCCCTTCACTACTTCCTCTTGGTACAACTTAACCCATTTTTCAAAACCCAGCTTAACATGCAGTTCTGCATGGGATCCCCCTTCCTCTGAACTCACAATGTTTTAAATCACACCTTTTCTTGCATGAATAGTTGTGTCCGTGTCCTCACATCTCTACGACCTAAACAGTTCCCTACAATCTAAACGACAGTGTTTCATTCATACCTCCTAGTAACTAATACTTAGAAGATTCCACCTAAATAGAAAATGAACAAAGACTAAAAAAGAGAAGAGGTTATGATACAGAATACTGCAAAAGCTGAGGGATCAGGAGACCACAACTAATCCTTACCTGCAGGCAAGAATCTGGCGAGTTCTGTCTCGGCACCCTTCTGCTTCCGGGCCTTTCGGCCTGGCCCCCGCTTCTCCTTCTTTGTAGGGTCCAATTTGCGCCCCATAGTACTATGGCAGACAGAAATGTGAGAAGGTGGCGTCGCGCGTGCCGGAGGAAACGGCAGAACGCAGGCTTGGCGTACTATAGTGGGAAAGGGGACAAGCTCAACTCAGCACCCGCAACTCACTCAGCACCCCCGATTCACTCAGCACCCGCGACTCAAGTACCCTCGCTATCCCCCTGGAGGCCGACCGAACGCCCTCCCACCCTGAAACCCAGGTAGTGCACTCCTCTCCCCACGTCCCAGACCAGGTCAGGGCTGCCACCCTTCGTCCCCCAATTTCCTCTAGACCCACCAGAATGCGGGTTAAGGCCCGAGACTGCCCTTGGGGCCGCGCTCCACGTGCACTCCGCAGCTAGCTTTCGGCCGCCACTCGCCACAGAGTCCTTCCACGCAGGCGCAAGGGTAACGCTAGCCTCGCGGCCCCGCCTCTTCCTGTTGCGCCCAGTCGGACGCCGCACCCGGAACTTACGCTCGACCAGGGAACGCCAGCGGAGCCCGCGGCGGCGAGTAGGGGGAAATTCGAAGGAGCCGCGCAGCTTACACCCGCGGGGGGTGGAGGGAGCACTGTGACGAGAAACCGCTGAGCGTGACCGCCCTTCCCTCAAGGAGTTGGCTTTTAGCCTCACGGCCGGTTTCTGTTGGAAAAGCTGGTGCGTGAAAGCCGCACCCTCTCCTCGAACCAGGGCCCGACAGCGGGGCCCTCTTTCTGGCATCCACTGCCCTAGTCGAGCCTCGAGATAACGGAATTCCAGGCTGGGCACCGTGGCTCACGCCTGTAATCCCAGCACTTTGGGAGGCTGAGGTGGGTGGATCACCTGAGGTCAGGAGTTCGAGACCAGCCGGGCCAACACGTTGAAACCCCGTCTCTACTAAAAACACAAAATTAGCTGGGCGTGGTGGCGGGCGCCTATAATCCCAGCTATTCGGGAGGCTGAGGCAGACAGAATTGCTTGAGCCCGGGAGGCAGAGGTTGCAGTGAGCCCAGATCGTGCCACTTCAGCCTGAGCAAGAGCGAAACTCCACCTCAAAAAACCCGACAAAAAACAGCCGGGCGCGGTGGATCACGCCTGTAATCCCAGCACTCTGGGAGGCCGAGGCCGGCGGATCACTAGGTCAAGAAATCGAGACCATCCTGGCCAACATGGTGAAACCTGTCAAAAATACAAAAATTAGCTGGGCGCGGTGGCGCACGCCTTTAGTGCCAGCTACTCGGGAAGCTGAGGCAGGAGAATCACTTGAACCTGGGAGGCAGAAGTTGCAGTGAGCTGAGATGGCGCCACTGTACTCCAGCCTGGCGACAGAGCAAGACTCCGTCTCAAAAAAAAAAAATCATGGAATTCCATGCCACTCAACTCCTACTCCCAGCCCCCACCCCTTTTTAAAAAATCTTTTTATAGAGACGGGGTCTAGGGGGTGGGGTCTCACTATATTGCCAGGGCTGCTCTAGAACTCCTGGGCTTAATCGATCCTCCTGCCCCCAACCTTTGTGCTGAGATTACAGGCTGTGAGGCACCGTGCCCCAACCTCCCAGCACCTTCCTTGATGCTCACTCCTGCTCAGCCCCTCAGTTAAGGTGCCGCACTACACCTGGTCCGCAGGAGGCCTCGGCCGGAACTCGCTTTCAGGTGGGTCTACAATTAGTTGGGAAACAACGGGTTGCAACGCCGACCTGGTCTGGGACATGAAGAGGGGTGAACTACCAGGGTTTCAAGGTTGGAGGGCGTTAGGTCGGGTCTCCGGGGGCGTGGGGTTGAGGCTGGGTTATTCCACAAATTGCATCCCAATTTTGCACAACTGAGCAAGAAAACCCCCCTCAGCCTTCCTTGAAACTAACATTAAGGTAGTGGTTAGGTGTTAAAAACTGTTCCATGTACTTGACTGGTTTTACTTGACAACCGTATGAGGTATACATGAGAAACCTGCATCCCACAGAAGTTAAACTTGCTCAAGGCCATTGTGGTACTTGGAGTTTTGCAGCCTCTCATTTTCCACAGGTGGAAGTCATCGCTGGCCAGGCACACACTGCACACCCACACAGAACCCAGTTCTTCAGTGGAGTATCAGGACACCACATAGCCCTTAATTTTCAACTATACAGGTGCCAGGCTCCTGCTGCACACACTCATCCACCTGCACCTACACCCACACTGAACCAGAGCACTAAAATACAAGGAAACTTTTATTTTCAATTTTCATCAAGAAATTTGCTGTGGTTTTTTATGCTTTTGGTTTTTTTTTTTTTTTTTTTTTCCACTTTATTTCATTTAGCCGCTCAGTGGCTAGAGCCGCTGGGTTCCTGGTATTAAAAAGATGCCAACAGAGGTAGCTGTGTCTCGCCCAGGGGCCCAGCCCACTCTGAATACCCCCAAAAAAGGAGAAAAGAAAACACAAAATAAACCAACAAAATAAAACCAAAAGGAGGAAAAAATTCAGATCATTTTCTTCAAGCCTGGCAGGAACCCACAACAGTTTGTGTGTAACAGGCGTTACAGTGGGGAGAAGCCAGGGTCCAGAAGGCCAGCCCGCCAGCTCCTGCAGATGGCGCCGGCGCTACTGCTGCATGTCTCTCCTGCAGGAAGGGCACCACTGCCCCTCACTCCCTCCCCTCCCCCAGTGCGCTGGGGCTGTTCCTTTACAACATGGAAGATGGGCAGAAGGAAGGTGAGGGTCTCTCAGGCCCCCCGGGGAGAAGCTGGGACAAGAGAAAGTGAGGAAGGTCACTGCTCAGCGGTGGAGGTGTTATCAGTCTGCATCTTCACTGCTGCTGGGCTACCTAGAGAAGGAGACCCAAGGAGTCAGAATTCCAGATGACAGGAATCCACCCAATCTCAAGGGAATTCACTGACAGCCTACCCACCCAGTATGTAAAGCTAGGAACATACAACAAAGTTACAAGCTCCAGAATGGTTCTGCAGGAAGAGGTGGTGTCAAGAAGAAAATGGTCCTACCTGCTGTGGGGTAGGTTCGGGTGCCCGGTTTGCCAGGCGGCTGAGAATGTTACGCTCTGACATCTGTAACCTCACAGCAACTGGGGGAATTCGGGCAATGGTAGCTGGGAGTCGAGTCACATCGGCTTTCATGTCACTCAGCAGTTCTTCCAGCTGTTTCAGAACTGCAAAGGGAGAAAAAGAGGTGGTGAGCTGTGGTGGCCAAGGCTGAGGTCCCTCTACCCTAGTGGACCAGCATCTCTTCTCAGTGACCAAGTGACTGTGATGTGTTATCTTCTGTCACCTGACCTGACCTCCACCATGTTCAAATTCCTGCTCCTCATATTCCAGTTCCAACTGTTCATGATTTTGTGCTCTTAAAAGTCACCTAAACCTTCACTATCCCTTACTATTATTGTATTTCCTCTTCTTGAGAAGCTTATTCCTGTTTTTTCTCTTCTCTACCTTCAGAATCTGTCTCCCACCTCCATTATAACAGCATTCTTTTCCTTATTTCACCCTCCGCCTCCTCATAACCTTTTACTTTAATTAGAAACAAAACGCTGAAAGGGGTCTAGAATTTGAAGGGATCTTTTATCACCTGAAGTTACCTCTAAAGTATCCCAAATGACACTATATTATTCTGCTTTGCTTTCCATCTCAAGAACCTGAATATATTTAAAGTTAAAAGAGGTGGGGCCGGGTGTGGTGGCTCATGCCTGTAATCCCAGCACTTTGGGAGGCAGAGGCAGGTGGATCATCTGAGGTCAGGAGTTTGAGACCGGCCTGGCCAACATGGTGAAACCCCATCTCTACTAAAAATACAAAAAATTAGCCGGGCATGGTGGCGGGCGCCTGTAATCCCAGCAACTTAGGAAGCTGAGGCAGAAGAATTGCTTGAACCCGGGAGGCGGAGGTTGTGGTGAACTGAGATCACGCCATTGCACTCCAGCCTGGGCAACAAGAGCAAAACTCCATCTCAAAAAACAAACAAAAAAACAAACAAAATTAGCAGGGCATGGTGGTGCATGCCTGTAATCCCAGCTACTCAGGAGGCTAAGGCAGGAGAATCGCTTGAACCTGGGAGGCAAAGGTTGCAGTGAGCCGAGATCACGCCACTGCACTCCAGCCTGGGCAACAAGAGCAAAACACCGCCTCAAAAAAAAAAAAAAAAAAAAAAAAGGTGGCCAGGGCAGGGCATGGTGGCTCACGCCTATAATGCCAGCACTTTGGGAGGCAGAGGCAGGTAGACCACTTGAAGTCAGTTTGAGACCAGCTTTGCCAACATGGTAAAACCCCATCTCTACTAAAAATACAAAAACTAGCCGCAAGTGGTGGCGCATGCCTATAGTTCCAGCTGCTCGGGAGGCTGAGGCAGGATAATTGCTTGAACCCAGGAGGCAGAGGCTGCAGTGGGCCAAGATCACGCCATTGCACTCCAGCCTGGGCAAGAGCTAGACTCCATCTCAAAAAGAAAAAAAAAAAAGGTGGCCGGGTACAGTGGCACATATTTGTAGTTCCAGCTACTCAGGAGGCTGAGGCAAGAGGATCACTTGAGTCCAGGAGTTCAAGACCCACCCGGGCAAAATGTTGAGAGCCCATCTCTTTTTTTTTTTCCGGAGTCTCACTGTGTTGCCCAGGCTGATAGCCAGTGCAATGGCACGATCTTGGTTTACTGCAAACTCCACCTCCTGGTTTCAAGCGATTCTCTTGCCTCAGCCTCCTGAGCAGCTAGGATTACAGGCATGTGCCACATGCCCAGCTAATTTTGCTATTTTTAGTAGAGACGGGGTTTCACCATGTTGGCCAGGCTGGTCTCGAACTCCTAACCTCGTGATCCACCCACCTTGGCCTCCCAAAGTGCCGAGATTACAGACGTCAGCCACCGCGCCCAGCCAAGAGCCCACCTCTTAAAAAGAAAAAAGAAAAAAAAAAAAAAAAAAAAAAGAGGCAAAGAACTACTGTCCTTGATTGCCTCTAACATATTAACTCCCCAAGGATGGCAAAGGTCCCTACCAACTCCTAAACTCTCAAAGGAGCTCTGAAAAAGGTTTGAAAACAAATATATGTACATTGGGATGCAGTTAGATGAGGGAGGAGGCCTAATCAGCAGGAGGCAGGGGAGCCACTGGCTACCTTTGTGCAGGACTGCATTGGCTGGCTTGTTTCCTGCCATTGACTCCTTGGACAGGTGCTGATGACTTTCCGCCAAACACTCCACCTCAGCAAAGCGGGTGTTGAGGGCCATGGAAGGGTGAGAAGGATCTTCTGACATGTTCAAGTAAGCAGCCCGGCGCAGCTGTTCCTCAATCACCAGAGCTTGTTCTAAGAGCTGGACAAGGGATAAGAGGAAACGGGAGTTCGACTGATAACTCACTTTGCTTACTTCTGACTGGCCTCTCAGCTCACCTCTCATTGTTTCTGATAGTAATAAGAACCTATAAATAACTTCATGGACAGCTCATTCCCACACCCAAGCAGTTTAACTTTGCCTTGTATCTTTTTTCTTTCCCTTTTTCAATGTCCTCGTTTTTAAAACTCTTTACCCTTTAGATTCTCTTATACAAAAGCAATAAAAACTCAATTTAGAAAATAGAATATCAAAAATTAACAACAGATGATCCCACCTTCTAGAAATATATCCTGATGTTTTTCTTTTTAGGTTTTTTTGTGCATAGTTTTTTACATAACTGAGATCATACTATATACATATCCATATTATGTTTTCATTTAGTTACAGTTAAACATTTTCCTTTTTATCATCTACTCTTTATCAACTACTCTTCAAAAACACGTTTTGGCTGGGCACAGTGGCTCACACCTGTAATCCCAGCACTTTGGGAGGCTGAGATGGGCAGATCACTTGAGGTCAGGAGTTCAAGACCAGCCTGGCCAACATGACAAAACCCCATCTCTACTAAACACACAAAAATTAGCAAGGTATGGTAGTGCACACCTGTAACTGCTGCTGCTCAAGAGGTTGAGGCAGAAGAATGCTTGAACCCGGGAGGCAAAGGTTGCAGTGAGCTGGGATCATGCCACTGCACTCCAGCCTGAATGACAGAGGGAAACTCTGTCTCAAAAAAACAGGGTTATTTTGCTATTTTAAAATATTTTTGTTTTTTATTTCCTCTTATCGCCATCTCACTTCCATTCCTCTGAAAAGCAACCTTTCTAATATAGTAATACTGTGGCTTTTTGTGTAGGTTTTTAAAGACTGTGTTGTTTCATATGTATGTTTCTAAGTTACAGAATGATGTTTTCTGTACCTATGCTTTTTTTCTCCCACTACATACTTTTTAAAAGGTACACTTATGTTGTATGCACATGAATTTTGTTGCTTCTGTTGTTTAATGCCCCATAATATGAATACATGTTTTACCTATGCATTCTCCTAATGCTGAACATTTAGGTTGCCTCTAGGCCCCCATCACCAAAAATCATACTGCAGAAACACTCATGCATATGTCACCTGATGGAGCTGTATTAAAGGTTCTTTGAAATATATCCCAAGAGGCAGAATGTTGGTTCTTAATTTATGAAAAGATTTTAATTACTTAAAAAATATATTCATAAAACCTATGACTCAACATATGAGATTTCTTATACGCTTCTCCTCTCCTAGTGTCAGCCAGCACTTCTATGCAGATGATTTGATGCTTCTCAAACATGTACCTTGAGCACTGGTTCTGATCCCGCTAGTGTATGGTGATGCGGGTAGGTAGTGGGAGGGGTGCTGATTTGTGAGAAATACCAAAAGACTTGTCTAAAATTCAGTATCATTCTTTTCTACAAACTGCTCGCTCTCTTCTTAAATGACAATTCACCTTTCTCAGTGACTCAGGCTCAAAATGTTATTTTCAGTCTCTTTCACTCTGTACCTCAAATCCAGTAAGTCAGAAGTTGGCGAGCTACAGTCTGTGGGCCAGCTCTGCCCCACCACCTGTTTTTATATGGCTGAAGAGCTAAGAATGGGTTTTACATTTTAAAATGGTTGGCAAAAAGTCAAAACAAGACTATTTCATGCCACTTAATGAGAATTATACAAAATTCAAATTGTAATATCCACAGATGAAATGCTGAAACACATCCTAACTTATTCGTTTATGTATCCCCTGTGGCTGCTTTCACACAACGAAGACGGAGTTAAGTATGTACAACAGAGACCACATGTCCCACAAAGCCTGAAGCCTATCTGGCCCTTTAATAGAAAAGGTTTGGTTGGGTGCAGTGGCTCACGCCTGTAATCCCAGCACTTTGGGAGGACAAGGCAGGCAGGTCACCTGAGGTCCAGAATTTGAGACCAGCCTGGCCAATATGGCAAAACCCCATCTCTACTAAAAACACAAAAATTAGCCAGGCATGGTGGTACATGCCTGTAATCCCACCTACTCAGGAGGCTGAGGTAGGAGAATTGGTTGAACCCGGGAGGCGGACGTTGCAAGTGAGCTGGGAGATGTCACCACTGCACTCCAGCCTGGGCAACAAAGCGAGACTGTCTCCAAAAAAAAGGGGGGGGTTTTATTAACCATTTTTGGTTTGCGGAAGAGTAAAAAGGTTTACTGACCCCTACAATAAGTCACTAAGTCCAGTAAATTCTTTGGTGTTTTGTTTCCTTTATCTTTACCCTTTTCATTTTCCACAACCAGCATCACAGCCCAGACCCTTAACACCTCATGATTATATGATAGTTTTATAATCTTATGAATGCTGTTTCCATTTCCCTTGGTCCTATCAAAACTCTGCTCACAAACTTTCAGTGGCTGCCCATTAACAACAGGGTAAAGTCCAAACTCTCTTAACTGGTGCCAAGAACCCACCTACTGACCTCTAGCTCTTCTACCTTTCTCTTTCCAACCTACCTCCCAACCATCACCCAACACAAATGTTTCCCTACAGCTCAACTGGGCTATTTGCTGTTTCCAGACATACTAAACTTTGCTGCCTCATGTCTTTGCCCAACCTAATCCCTTTGTTCAGATACTCTTCTGTTCCTACCAAAAAATCTCCATCGCATTCCTCAAAACTTTATTCCAACGCCATCTTCTCCATAAAGCCATTTGTGAGTTCCCTCCCTACTCCAATTCCTCTGGAGAACTTTTTTTTTTTTTTAAAGACAGGGTCTCGGATGACGCAGTGGCTCAGGCCTGTAATCTCAGCACTTTGGGAGGCCATGGCGGGCAGATCACGAGGTCAAGAGATCAAGACCATCCTGGCCAAATTGCTAAAACCCCGTCTCTACTAAAAATACAAAAATTAGAGGCTGAGGCAGGAGAATTACTTGAACCCAGGAAGCAGAGGTTGCAGTGAGCAGAGATCACACCACTGTACTCCAGCCTGGCAACACATCAAGACTCTGTCTAAAAAAAAAAAAAAAAAAAAAAGCGTCTTACTCTAATGCCTAGGCTGGAGCGCAGTGGCACAATCTAGGCTCACTGCAGCCTCCCGAGTAGCTGGAACTACAGGTGCACGCCACCAGAATTGGTGAATTTTTGTATTTTCTGTAGACGTGGCATTTTGCCATGTTGCCCAAGCTGGTCTCGAACTCCTGGACTCAAGCAATCAGTTCTTTTAAAATGCTGGGATTAGCCACTGTGTCTGCCTCTCTGAGACCTTTTTCTTTTCTCTTCCTTTTTGAGATGAGTCTCGCTCTGTTGCCAGACTGGAGTGCAGTGGTGGGATCTCGGCTCACTGCAACCTCCGCCTCCCGGGTTCAAGCAATTCTGGAGAACTTTATGCCAATCAGCAATCTCTCTCCTGATATGCAGAATGGCATTCATTTGATTACACATGTGCTCCTACTTGAAACTGAAAGCTCCTTGAAAACAGATACCATACTTTGTCTCCTTATCCCTGGGCACATCATTGCTTAGTACATAATACTTGAAGGCTTATTAGTGTGCATTTCTTCCCCGATTATACTCAGCGTATGAGACAACAGACATGTCTTTTTCTTTTTCCTTTTTTTGAGACAGAGTCTCACTCTGTTGCACAGGCTGGAGTGCCATGGCACAATCTTAGCTCAATGAAATCTCCACCTCCCAGCTTCAAGCGATTCTCATGCATCATCCTCCCAAAGTGCTGGGATTACAGGCATGAACCACTGCGCCTGGCCCACACAGCTACTCTTCAGCCCAGAAAAAGATGCCAGGCACAGTGGCTCACGCCTGTAATCCCAGCAATCTGGGTGGCCAAGGCAGGTGGATCACTTGAGGTCAGGAGTTTGAGACCAGCCTAGCAACATGGTGAAACCCCATCTCTACTAAAAATACTAAAAACAGCTGGGTGTGGTGGCGGGCGCCTGTAATCCCAGCTACTCAGGAGGCTGAGGGAGGAGAATCACTTGAACCCAGGACACAGAGGTGGCAGTGAGAAGAGACTGCATCATTGCATTCCACCCTGGATGACAGAGACTGTCTCAAAAAAAAAAAAAAAAAACAGCAGCCCACTGACTGATACAGCTCTACCTCTTCAGAGATGCAATTCAATCCCACCTCTGTATCTTTCCTGAATACTCTACAGTGTTCCCCAAACAAACCCCTCTGCACTAGTGTCGCTCACTGGACCATAGTCACCTACAGCTCATGTACAGTTAGTTAACTTTCAAGTCTGTGTGTCTTCAACCCTAATGTGTAAGTTACTTGGAACCAAAGCCTTCCATAGAATGAAGAAAGTGAGAACGGTGCACTGGATGGACAGACTCCCTCCGCACTTAAGCAATCAATATATTCCTCCCCAACCGCTCACCTTAAACCTTCGAGCTAGAAATTTATTCTTGATCTCTAAGAAATTGCCACGGTTCATTTCACCCTTGAAAGGCTCATTGAGGATGGCATAGCGTGGGTCATTCTGGATGTCTTGCCACCGGGCATAGCCATGGCTATTGGAAAAGTGCTCAGGAAAAACAAAACAAGAAAAGTAAAAACCTCAAACTAAGAGACCTTCAGAACCAAAAGCCTCAGTCCAGATTCAGGCAAAGGATACTTTATGATGCCGGCTAGCAGCCAGTAGTCATGCCGTCGATGCCAGATCTCGTAAGTCTTCTTGGTAACTGTGGCTGCCCGCTCTTCATTCTGCCAAAGGGAGTGCAACTCTGAGGAGGAATTTAGGGAAGGTGGGAGGGGGGGCGGGAAGCAAACATCTGTGAGAATTGAAAATGCTACTTATTCTTGTCCCCCACCATCCCCCATCCCTGGATCCATCTTTATATAATTTGCTTCTGGCTTTCTCCACAGAACCCAGGGGAGTACACTATCAGTTTGGCATTCCCTCATCGAACAGAGGTAAAGTCCCTGTACCACGGTTTCTGACAAGAACCCCAATTTCACATCCGATCCTTCTAACCCTGGTGGGCCCCTCATTTCCATACCAGTAAAACCACCATCTGCAATGTTGAACATGAAACGCTGTTTAATATTTTTCTTCTGTTTCTCATCATTCAGGTCCTTGGGGGTCTCTCCATTCTGAAGCATCACCTCTTTTTTCTCTTCTTCTTCTTTCTTCTCTTCTACAGAATATAAGGAAGAAAAATGTCGGTTCCAGCCAAAGCCCAGCACCCATCGCCCTTACCCAGAACACTGTATGCTACAAGAATCCATCCACCTCCACCCCTTCTCCACCTGGGTGTCTCTCAGACCCAGAAAATGGTGCCATTGGCCCACTGGGGACAGGTGCAGTCTTTTGGGATAAAATGGCTAGATGAGTATGGACAAGGAGGCAGGGCAGATACAGTCCTTGCTTCCGGTTTTAGAGTTCTTCTAAACCACAATCAACTTCTCCAAACACCCACCTTTGTCTTCTACCACAATAGGGGTCAGATCTATTGCTGACTTTTCCTCCACCTTCTCTACATCAGCAGCACCTAGGGGAAGAAATGTTATTGAAAATATACCTAAAGGAAGAACATTCTCCTCTGTTACACACTATTATCCAACTGGATAGACCTACATCTAAATGTCTGCGATTACAGTAATGTCAGCTGGGCACAGTGGCTCATGCCTGTAATCCCAGCATTTTGGGAGACAGTAGCGGGCAGATCACTTGAGGTCAGGAGTTCAAGACCAGCATGGCCAACATGGGAAAACCCAATCTCTATTAAAAATACAAAAATTAGCCAGGTGTGGTGGCTCATGCCTGTAATCCCAGCACTTTGGGAGGCCAAGGTGGGTGGATCACCTGAGGTCAAGAGTTAGAAACCAGCCTGGCCAACATGGTGAAACCCCGTCTCTACTAAAAATACAAAAATTAGCCAGGCATGGTGGCTCACGCCTGTAATCCTAACACTTTGGGAGGCCGAGGTGGGTGGATCTCGAGGTCAGGAGTTTGTGACCAGCCTGGCCGACATGGTAAAACCCCGTCTCTACTAAAATACAAAAATTAGCCGGGCATGGTGGTGCGTGCTGTAATCCCAGCTACTCAGGAGGCTGAGGCAGGAGAATTGTTTGAACCCAGGAGGTGGAGGTTGCAGTGAGGCGAGATCATACCACTGCACTGCACATCAGCCTGGGCGACAGAGCAAGACTCCACCTCAAAAAAAAAAAAAAAAAAAAAAAAAAAGCCGGGCATGGTAACTACTCAGGAGACTGAGGCAGGAGAATCGCTTGAACCCAGGAGGTGGAGGTTGCAGTGAGCCAATATCATGCCACTGCACTCCTGCCTGGGCGACAGAGTGAGACACCATCTCAATAAATAAATAAATAAATAAATGATTAGCTGGGCATGGTTGTGGCATGCCTGTAATCCCAGTTACTCGGAGGCTGAGGCAGGAGAACCGCTTGAACCCGGGAGGCGCAAGTTGCAGTGAGCAGAGATTGTGCCACTGCACTCCCGCCTGGGTGACAGAGTGAGACTCCATCTCAAAAAAAAAAATAAAAAATAATAAAGTCATAAGAGATAGGAAAACCTGCCACCTAAAATCAAGGGTGCAGGATTCTTCAGTGTATCGCTTCCTCCTGATATCTCTACAGCCCCAGTGAAAATTCATGAGTGACCATGGTTCACACAGGGATCTGTAGTGCCTAAAAATATGGACACCAGCCAGGCACAGTAGCTCACGCCTATAATCCCAGCACTTTGAGAGGGCAAGGCAGGTGGATCACCTGAGGTCAGGAGTTCGAGACCAGCCTGACCAATATGGAGAAACCCCCTCTATTAAAAAATACAAAATTAGCTAGGCATGGTGGCACATGCCTGTAATCCCAGCTACTCAGGAGGTTGAGGCAGGAGAATCGCTTGAACTCAGGAGGCAGAGGTTGCAGTGAGCCGAGATCGCGCCATTACACTTCAGCTTGGGCAACAAGAGTGAAACTCCTTTTTTTAAAAAAAAAAAAGAAAAAAAGAAAAAAAAAGGCCAGGCACAGTGGCTCATGCCTGTAATCCTAACAATTTGGGAGGCCAAGGCGGGCGGATCACAAGGCCAGGAGATTGAGACCAGCCTGGCCAACATGGTGAAACCCTGTCTCTACTAAAAACACAAAAATTAGCTGGGCATGATGGCATATGCCTGTAATCCCAGCTACTCGGGAAGCTGAGGCAGGAGAATCGCTTGAACCTGGGAGGTGGAGGTTGCAGTAAGTCAAGATGGCGCCACAGCACGCCAGCCTGGCAAGAGTGCGAGACTGTCTCAAAAAAAAAAACGTGGATACCTTTACCTTTGGGCTCTGTCTCCATAGGTTCCTCTGTTCTCTCCTTCACCTCTGCCTTTTCCACTTTCTCCTCTCCCTCAGGGGGTTCAGCAACGACCTTTTCATCCTCTGAGGCAGGGGCAGGGGGCTGTGTACACTTCAAAGGAAAAAAAAACAAAAACAAAACAGATGAAGCAGACAGGCCAGCAACTACAAGGAAGACTGGACTTATACATTTGTCTTTAGTGTGGCATTCAGTCACCCCCATCTCTTACCTCAATGGCAGTCTCAGGGGCTACAGATTTAACCTCCTTTTCTCCTTCTATGCTCTCTTCTTCTTTGAGGCTATTTTCCTCTATTTTGATCCCATCTTCTGCAGAACAATAAGAGACAATCAATTAGGAAGAAGGTCCTACATCAGAGAGAAGGTCATTTCTTCCCAGTTTGTCTCATCTTAAACTGTCCTCTCGTGCCTTTAAGAGCCAGCCCCATTCTTAGGACGGCCCTCCTAAACTGAGAGGGAAATTACTGTGTGTCCTGCCAGACTACCCTGTTAGAACTGAGCACAGGGGAGCAGAAAAATAGGCCAGGACAAAAAGAGAGGGACAGAAAATGATAGGACAGGCAGACTTACCAGCAGGTGGGGCAGGTGCAGGAGTGTTGGGCTGCGTATCCCCTGGAGTGGAGGGTGTAGGAGTCTTTGGGGAGGGTGACCCTGGCTGGGACATTTTCTTGTTTTCCTCTACCTCAGCCAGTTCAGGCATGCTCCAGCGCCCATTAACATGTTCAAACTCCTGAACCTGTAGCAATGGGACAAGAAATTGAAGACCCAATTCCAGCTGCAGGCTCCTTTCCTATTGGCCCTCCAGTCTCCACCTCCTGGGTTCAAGCAATTCTCCTGCCTCAGCCTCCTGAGTAGCTGGGATTACAGGTGCCCACCACCACACGCAGCTAATTTTTGTATTTTTAGTAGAGACGGGGTTTCACCATGTTGGCCAGGCTGGTCTCAAACTCCTGACCTCAAGTGATCCGCCCACCTCGGCCTCCCAAAGTGCTGGGATTACAGGTGTGAGCCACTGCGCCTGGCCCCCTAGAAACTTTTAACAATGGCAAGTGGCTCAGGGCTCACCTTCTTGCGAATCAAAGACATAACACCAATTCTAGTAAGGACATGCTGGCGAGACAGGCCTTCTCGAGGGACACCATCAGCAAAGGTCTCAGCCCCATCTGCCCCCGGCTCACATAAATGCCGCATAAAGAGAGAGACATATGCCCTGTGTAAAGAAGTAGAGAAATGAGTTAAACAGGGATCATGCTGACTCTTAAGATTCTTTCTCCATCCCTTCGTGAGGCATTATCACAGGCAATAACTATGGCTCCACCTTGAGGTAAAGCCCACCACTGCACTGGAAGGCTGATCTCCAGACCCCACAAGAAGACCCAGGTTCTCTTCCAGGGAAGCTAGGAACACATTACTAACAGCTTCACCTGCCAACTTCAACAGAGGAAACAGCCCACTTCCCTGCACGGCTGGGCCTAGAACCATGGAATGACCAGCTAGATAGCAGAAGAAGCCCTTGCTCTAGATCAGTCCACACCAGCCCTCAACTCACTTGAACTCTTTCTCTGATTTGCCTCGCAGATCTCTTACAAGCCACTGGGTAGTAAAAGCATCCTGAGGTGGCATACCATATCGCATAATTGCGTTAAGAAAGGCTTTTCGCTGACGAGCATTAAAACCAAGTACCTAGGGGAAGAAGAAACCCAGGTGAGAGGGAGCAGGTCGCACTCCACCAAAGATCCAATATCTGGCACTCACCCACCCTTAGAATCCCATGGCACTTACTTCAATATTCCCACCGACACGGGCCAACAGAGGAGGCAATGGCTTATCTTTATCATTCCGCAGGCCCTTACGACTGGGCCTACGGGGAGCTGCAGGAAGAAAAAGATGAATGAGTGACACAGGTAGGATATGAAACAAAGCAATATTTAGAAAAGCAACAAAAAAGCACAGCCCTCACCTTCTGAACGTTCATCAAAGTCTTCATCACCTTCCTCTGAAGCCACTGAGTAATCGGACTGGTTGTCGGACTGGTCGTCCTGCCAATCTGGAGGGAGAGAGGGCAGATGAGCGGGGCCCACTGCTCTAGTGGAACGGCCCATGGGTGGGGGGCGGGGCCGGCCACACACACCTCGGTCCTCCTGGGAGCCATCATTGTAGTTGACCTGTTTACGGATTCTTTTTCCTTTACCCAGATTTCGGGCTAGATCTTCTTGCTGCTGCTCATAATGGTGCCGCAGCAATTTCTCCCAGTAGTCAGGATCCACACTTTCTTCCTGTTTAATGATTTCCCGTTCTACCTCCTCTTCCTCCTGGGACAGAGGGAGGGCCAGGACTCAGGAGTGCTGAAGTCAGCACCACCAGCTACCCCTGGTCCTCATAGTTCCCACTCTGCTAGCTCCTTTTCATGACTGGACTCTTAAATAGTTGGTGTGCCTGTTTGGACCTACGAACTTAGAAGAAATTTAATTGAGAGTACATAGCTCCTCATAATTATGTATACATTAGCAATCAGCATAACTCAAGAAAAACATGGGATAGAGCCATTATCACAGGGAAAGATGAAGAGACAGAATGCTTTCTTCTAACCCCTTGCACTGGTGCATATACAATCGAAAAAAGCAAAAAGAAAAGAGGTCAGAGCCTTAGCAAGGCAGAATGGAGAAGCTTCTGAAATACTGTAAAAGATTTTCATAAGAGAGAAGAAAAGAGGTCTATAAGCCTTTCTGTTCTTCATAAACTTCATAAAAGCTTACCAACTGTCTGCAAAGCGAAAAGAATTATATATAGCCTCTTATATCCCAAAAATGTTGATACTCCTCTAAAAGTGAATTTTTTTCAGACACTTCAGGATCACTCACTGATTCCATATCCCTTATACTGGAATTAAACAGCTGCTAATAGCATAACATTAGAAACAACCTAAATGTCCATCATTATGGAACTAGTTAAATAAATTACAATCAGCTCTCTGTATCCATGGGTTCTGCACCTGTGGATTCAAACAACCATAGATGGAAAATATTCAGAGAAAAAACAAAATTGTCTGTACTCAACATGTACAGACTTTTTTCTTGTTATTATTCCCTAACCAATGTGGCATTTACATCGCATTGGTATTACTTTTGTGTTTAAAAGGAAAAAAATGTTTTTGGGTACATGTATGTGCGTGTACATATACATGTATGAATATATGTATAATTTGTATACACATAAAATATTTTTGTAAAGATATAAAAGGAACTGAAAACATTAGCTGTCCCCAAGAAGGGAACTAAATTGTTAGAGTACAGAAGAGAAAAGAGATACGTGTGTGTACATATAAATATATATATGTTTTTGTTTTTTGTTTTTTGTTTTTTTGTTTTTTTTTTGAGACGGAGTCTCGCTCTGTCACCCAGGC